GGTGTTTTTGTCGTTGGTGTCGCTAGTGGCTTTTGTTTTTGTAGCTAGTGTTGTTGCTGCTGGAGTAATAATTGTGGTCATTTATGGCATTGTTGTTATTTAGTAGCAGTTGTTGTTTCTTTATCACTCTCTCTCTCTCTCTCTCTCTCTCTCTCTCTCTCTATCTATCTATCTTTCACTCTCTCTTTCTTCCTTTCGATCACTTTTTCTCTTCTTCTATTGGTCGAACGTAATTTTTTTTAATAAATGCATGTTTTCATTGAAAACCCAAATTATTTAGAAAACTGAAAAACCCAATAATATGAAAATGTTGACATTCTTTGTCGCAACCTCACAAAAATGCTCCTCACCACATGCTGATTTATTTACGTTTTGGTATGATTGAATAAACAATGAACAAAAATTAGCGTACAGATGTTGTAAACAAGAACCCACGCGCGCGCACACACACACACACATACACACACACACATACACACACACACACACACACACACACACACACACGGTCACAACTCATTTAAGATAAAAACATCAAAAGTTGAAAGTAGGAGCGTGCAAATTGCCCCGACGATTAAGAATCAATTTGAGGTTTGGCGATGATGTTCTAAGTAGAACGCCGTGTTGCATGTCCATTTGCGTGCTTTTCTATAGATGTGTGTGTGTCTTTCTGTTCGTATGTCTTTGTATGTGTGCTTATGTATGTCTATATGAAGGTATATTTTTGTATGGGTGTATGTATTGTGTAAGTTTGTGTGTCCGTTTCAGTTTATTCGTTTATGTTTGTGATACAAGCGATGTACATGCTCGGTTTTCAGCAAGTGTGAACGGTGTGTTTGTTTGTATATATGTGTGTGTGTGTGTGCGCGTGTGTGTGTGTGTGTTTATGTGTGTGTGTTTGTGTGTGTGTGAAGATGTAAACATTTGAGATTAAATGTCGAAAGCCCATGTTTGTTTAAAGAGACAAAAATTCAGTAATTGTAAATAAGTTTTGCTGATCAGTGCAACTGCATTGTTTAATCAATAAATGGTGCTGGAGACGGGTGAACAACGTTTGATGGTTTCAATGTTTTTCATGTAAACACGTTTGTTTATGGTAAGCGCGCGCGCGCGTGTGTGTGTGTGTGTGCGTGTGTGTGTGTGTGTGTTTGTGTCTGTGGTGTGGTGTGTGACTGCACTGCACACCTCGTAAATATGTTGTACGTCAGTTAATGGAGCATGGAGTTGCACAATGAATGTTCTATCTACGCGTCTCCACGGACTACAATCAAAGCAATCATATACAATCATTCTGCTTATCAGTTTCGACCGTTGCTCTTCTCTATGGGTATGTATGTATGTGTGTGTCTGTGTGTGCGTGTAAAGTGTTTATTCCAATATCAATGTATAGTATTAATGTATGTATAGGTATGTTTATATACACATGTGTGTGCTGAGATGTATGTATGTTTATTTTGTGTGTGACAAAAAATTGTTTGTTAGCTTTCGATGACTTCTTTAAATTATATTTTATGTTTCAACAGCTGACTGCCAACAAATAACAACGCTACGGAATCACAGTGGATGGATGGAATGAGTGAACTGTACAACACTCGGCAGTTGTTTAAATGTTGATGGTTGTACAGAACTCAATAGCAGACGTTCAACAACAACATCAACAAAAACAACAACAACAACATTAACAACAACAGCATCAACAACAACAACAACGTCAACAAAATCAACAACGGCAATATCAACGTCAACATCAACAGCAGCATCAACAGCATCATCAACTACTACATCAACAACAACAACGTCAACAGCAACAACTACAACAGCAACAACAACAACATATGGCTAATAGTCGTGATCTTTCCATCTGACTGCCCACAAAAACACGTGTTCCCCTTAATAATCTCCTCAATTGACCATTCTATTTACATTTTTATGTCTCGTTTCTAGTTCGCGGTCTTTATTGCTTCTTCTTCTTTTTTGTTTTATTGTCTTTTTTTCTCGTGAAAATATATTTTTGCTGTGTGTGTGTGTGTTTGTATGTGTGTGTGTGTGTGGGTGTGTGTGTGTGCAAGAAAAACAGAGAGAGTGAGAGAGAGAGTGGTATGTGTGCGGTATGTGCGTGTTAAAGAGAAAGCGAGTGTGTATGTGATGTGTGTGTCAGTGTGCGTGTGTATGTGAGTTTGTATTTATTTCGCTTGCAAATTTAATAATATAACAGCGTTGATAAATAATATAATTTAAAATATTTGTTGATCCATGTGTTTTGATTTTGCTGATTTCAATTAAATAGTTGAAATAGAATACATAATCACAATAACATCACTGAACAACAACAATAACACACAAAAAGCAGCAGCAACAAAACAACAACATCTTGAAGCAACAACAATAACACACGTCTCAACCCAACATTTTTATTATCTCAAAATACAATCAAACCAGTTATTATATTGGAAAGCCTTACCTTCAAGCAAAATCATCATCAACAACAATAATAATAATAACAACAACATCAAACACCGCAATATCATCAACAACAACATCAAAAAAACTTCAACAACAACATTAACAACAGCATTAATAATGTCATCCTTGTTAAAAACATCCTGATTAAAAAATTCCTACATCAGCAACAACCACAATGTCAGCAACAACAACATCAACAGCGTCAACCAAAAAACATCAACAGACATCAACAATGACATTAATAACATCATCCACAACAACATCATTCTAATTAATAACACTCCAACATTAACGACAGTATCAACAACAACAACTACAACAACAACAACATCAACAACACCAACAACAACATCAACAACAACAGCATCAATAACAACAACATCAACAATAAGAATAATTATAATAATAATAATAATAATAACAATGAAAAAAAAATAGATAAAAAAATAACAACAATAAAAATAATAAGAAAGAAAGAAAGAAAGAAGAAAAAAAGAAGAAGAAGAAGAAGAAGAAGAAAATAAAGAAAAAGCAGAAGAAGAAAAAGAGAAAATGAAGAAGAAAAAGCAGAAGAAGAAGAAGAAGAAGAAGAAGAAGAAATATAAACATTAACAACAATAACAACAACAATAATAAAAAATAAAAGGAATAATAAAAAGAGTAACCATAATAATAATAACAACAACAATAGTAATAGGAATAATAATAATAATAATAATTATAATAATAATAATAATAATAATAATGATAATGAGATAGTAGTCATCATCTAGAACAACAATCCCGACCACAAATGCTCCAACTAAAAGCCTAAATTGCCACGGGCGATAATTTGGAGAAATATTTTTCTTTTATTTGTCACTATCATCGTCATCACTGTATCATCTATCATTATCATTGCTGATATCATCTCTCATTATCATCGCTATATCATCTATCATTATCATCGCTATATCATCTATCATTATCATCGCTATATCATCTATCATTATCATCGCTATATCATCTATCATTATCATCGCTATATCATCTCTCATTATCATCACTATATCATCTATCATTATCATCACTATATCATCTATCATTATCATTCCTATATCATCTATCATTATCATCGTTATACCATCTATCATTATCATCGCTATATCATCTATCACTAAAAATTTTGTGGGTGTAATTTTTTGCTTATCATTTACCTGATCATCATTACCAAATATCATAGCCAACTTTGTTATCATCATGTTATTGATTTAATTATCATCATTACCATGTTAGTATCATAGTATCATTTATCATCATCGTATTTTTGACTATCATCATCATCACCATGTTAGTATCATAGTATCATTTATTATCATCGTATTTTTGACTATCATCATCATCACTAAGTTAGTATCATAGTATCAGTTATTATCATTGTATTTTTGACTATCATAATCACCATTATGCTAGTCTCATCATCATTCTCATTTCATTGTATCTTCATCATAATTCATGCATGACGTCATCTTCAGTCTCACCATAATCATCACCAATGTTATCACCCAAAACAACAACAACAATATTATTTGTCATAATCAACAACAGCATCATCGGCATGAACATCATCCTCTCTTTATCACTTTTTTCATGTCCTGAAAATGTCAAAGTAATTATCATCATCATCGTCATCATCATCATCGTCATCATCATCATCGTCATCATCATCATCATTGTCGTCGTCGTCAACATTCACCTTACGAGAAACAAATTATAGTCTACATTGCAATCAAGGATATCTTAATCATCATGTATGTATGTATGTATGTGTGTGTGTGTGTGTGTGTGTGTGTTTATGTATGTATGTATGTATGTATGTATGTATGTATGTATGTATGTATGTATGTATGTATGTATGTATGTATGTATGTATGTATGTATGTATGTATGTATGTATGTATGTATGAATGTATGTATGTATGTATGTATGTATGTATGTATGTATGTATGTATGTATGTATGTATGTATGTATGTATGTATGAATGTATGTATGTATGTATGTATGTATGTATGTATGTATGTATGTATGTATGTATGTATGTATGTATGTATGTATGTATGTATGTATTTATGTATGTATGTATGTATGTATGTATGTATGTATGTATGTATGTATGTATGTATGTATGAATGTATGTATGTATGTATGTATGTATGTATGTATGTATGTATGTATGTATGTATGTATGTATGTATGTATGTATGTATGTATGTATGTATGTATGAATGTATGTATGTATGTAGGTAGGTATGTATGTATCAATACACACACGCGCACATACACTCATAAACAATCAAAAACACATACACGCACGCACAAACATTTGCAATTCAATCACATATTTATCAATGTTATAGGCTAACACCATTAAAATTTGTGTCTATAAGTTGATGGTTTGTGTGTAACGTTTATTTCGTTGTTTTTACGTTGTACGTGTGTTGTTTTACTTGTGTGTGCGTGTTGTTTTTGTATGTATTGTATGTGTTTTTGTATACATTAAATTGTGCACTTGTTCGGGCCAAGAACCTCGATACATATTGGCAAGAATTCCATCGAGGGGAGGGCGTTCCCATATTTTTTCATTTTCTCGTCCGCTGCCCTGGCCGCGGCCAAACCGCATTCTTTACTTGTCAGGTTTACGTATCGTTCGGCGAGGGTGCCAGGAACCGTAACATCCCATCTGCCGGATCTCCAAGGTATTAGCGTGCATCCATCCTGGCGCCTACCATCATGCGCAGAAATGCCGGATGGTTCCTTGAGAACCGGGATTGAAGCCTTGGAGAAGAGCCGACAAATGTAATCGTTTAGCGCTGAGTGACGTAGTTGACGGCCCCCACCCAGTCGACAAACCAAATGTATGTATGTATGCATGCATGTATGTATGTATGTGTGTATGTATGTATGTATGTATGCATTTATGTATGGATGTATGTATGAGTGCGTTTGTGTGTGTGTGTGCATATTTGTGTGTGGTTTGCCTTAATTGAAATGCAATGCAAATCATTAAAATGACGATGATGATAACAATAATAATAATAATAATTATTATTATTATTATTGTTGTTATTGATATTGTTATTATTACTATTATTATGTGTCATAATTATCTCATTAGAGGTAGGCACCAATAAATAATAAGCGGCAACAACACGCCAGACAACAATACAACAACAAAACAACTACAACAACTACAACAGCAACAACAACATCAACATTAAAAACAACTACATCATCATCAACATCAACAACATCAACATTAAAAACAACTACATTATCAACAACAACAACAACATCAACAACTACAACAACAAAAACAAAAACAACTACAACATTTGCAATAACAGCAACAACTATAACAACATCAATAACAACAAATACATCAACAACAATAAGCACCTCAACAACAAATATTCATTATTAGTAAAAATACGTAAGAACAATGTTTAATAAAGCCATCAATAACAACAACAATAATAATAACAATAATAATAATAATAACTACAATAATAATAACAATCCACACGCCGTCTTTTACGATGCTGTTATCGTTAGCCATTGTTATATTATTATTATTATTATTATTATTATTATTATTATTGTAGTTATTATTAGTAGCAGCAGTAGTAGTAAAAGTAGTAGTAGTAGTAGTAGTAGTAATAATAGTAGTAGTAGTATTAGTAGTAGTAGTAATAATAGTAGCGGTGGTATAATTAACTTTGCAATCACTTACATCGTTACTATTAGCAACGCCATCAACATTCTCGTCATCATCGTCATAGTCATCATCACCATCATCGCCATCTTCGTCATCATAACCATAATCATCTTAGTCATCATCGTCATCATCATCGTCGTCATCATCATCATCGTCATCATCATCGTCATCATCGTCATCGTACTCACCATCATCATTATGTTAATGTGCATAGCGATGTTTAGCAGCTCTGAAGAGGAAAATGCTGGATGAGAAATGTTGACAGCATTGGTGATTGGCGTTGGTGATGGTGATGTCAAATTTGGTGAGTACGATGATGATGATGATTGCGATGATAACTGTGGTTATAATAATTATGACCATGTGTTGGTTACGGTGATGGTCATTATTGTTATGATGATGATGGTGGTGGTTATATTGATGATGATTGTTCTGAAAATTGTGATGATGGTCACGTTAATCCTAATGGCGATGATGTTTCGTGAAATTAATTTGCAAATAATAAAAGTGTACTTTCTGTAAAAAAAACCTCGTTAATTAAAATTAATTAATTAAAATTTTAATTAATTAAAATAACAAACTGACAGAAACATCATTTCCACAAAAAATTTCAATTTGACATTCTAAAAAAAACATTTCATCTCATTAACTTCAAAAATCAACCTCTTCCACTGCTTTTCCAACATCGGATCTGGCTACATCAGGATCAACCTTATGAAAAAGACGGCGAAGGAGCCAACTGGCCCGGCTCTTCACAATAAATGGCCCTCACAAAAAAAGATTAAAAAAATCCTACTTCAGCAACAACTTTTACGCGTTTTTTTCAAAATATTTCATCTTTTCCATCTACTAACTCTTTCTGTTGGAACATAAAAATACTGCTTTAATCGTTCACGAGGTTATTCATCATTTGATTTTTCAAATAGATTGTATTTAATATTAATAGTAATTTATTAATATTAATTTAATATTAATAAATTGTTTACCACATTTTATGTCTAATTAATTTTTTTGACCGTCAATAAATTATCAAAAAACTTCACAAAAAATGTTATATTTTATTTTTTGAAAAATCATTATGAGCCAAATTCGACCCTGTTATAATGTACACGAAGGGAACATCGTGTAACACGCAACATGTTGCACACACAACATGTTGCGCAACGTGTTGCATAACGTTGCAATGCCCAAACATCGGCGCACGAGCAAGCAACATCAACAACAGCATCAGTGACATTCTCTTTATAACAGTTCCTCCTCTTACGTAAGTTGTTGATGAGATCATAAAATTGTGGTAGCCAAAACATTTGTATGCACGTACAATCTTTGCATCCAACCAAACTACAATATATAATACAAACTACAACTAAAACTACACTAACAAGTGGTTGCGTTGCATGAAAATACATCATTTAAAATGTATACACGTATGTGTGTGCGTGTGTGTGTGAGTGCGTGCACATACACACACGCACATACACACAGACACACACGCGTCTTAACAAGAAGCACGTGTTAAACTTGATTCAGTGTTGGCCACTAATTCCAACAAATTCATTTGAAACAATCTAACACTCATACATTGCTCTCATCATCATCATCATCAACATTCTCATCTTGTAATTTATCGGTTATCATCATCAAAACTATCTCCCTTATCATAATCATCGTCATCATCGTCATCATCATCATCATCATCATTATCGTCGTCATCGTCATCATCATTATCATAACTGTTATTAACGTGATATCTCCATTATTATCGTCATTAACATAATTATCAATGGTCACTAACATCACCATCATAATTGCCATCATCATCATCATCACTGCCATCGCACTGACCATATGTTCGCCACAATTATGACCACCACAAACAAACAAACGAACAAACAAACGAACAAACAAACGAACAAACAAACGAACGCGATTGTAAATTATTAATCACTTTATAACTTTCAAAATCGTAAATGCCACAATAATCGTCTTCATAATGACTATTTATTTATTATAACACCACCATCATCATTACAACCACCAACATCACCCCCACCATCATCATCATCATCATAACAATCATCGTTATCATAATCATTATCGATTTATTGGTGGCACGTTTTACAACGCTCTCCATCAGACGAACGTGGCATCGTTAGCCACCCGCCGATATGTTAATGATGACGCTTGCTGTGGGCGTGTCCTAATGAAGCCGCTAATAAACATACTCTTCTTGACGGCCAATCAGATCTCTTTGTTTGAAATTGCACGCGCCCCACTGGTTGTCTCTTCATTGTGGGCTGGACTTGAAGATATATAAGATAATTTTTAGGAAGTGTGACCAATTCATACTTCCAGCAACATCTCAGTTACTCCAGCTGAACTGACATCGCATGGTATCATATGAGCGTTTAAACTTCTAAACATTCAAATTTCTGATCATTAGTATTCGGTTGGAGCATCGGACATTCAAATTTTGTTGTGCATTTGATAGTTCATCTGAAGTTCAAGATAAATATTTTACATCTACACGTAGGGGAAAATACATATATCAGATACATACATCACAGGTGTGTACATCAAAGATACATATATCAAAGATACATACATCAAAGATACATATATCAGAGATACATATATCAGAGATATCAAACAGGATGAACAAATCGTCAGGAGTCTTTCCGGTTTTGTCATCGTCCTCATCGCCATCATCGTCCTCATCTCTCCATTCATTATCTCCGTATGCTATCAACAACGACGACAACAACAACAACAACAAATACAGTTTCAACAGCAAGAACAACAACAACAATAACAATAATGAAGTCAAACATACCTCCTCAAGAAAATTATGGAGCCCAAGTATCGACGAAGGACTGGCGTCAATGGACACAACGCACATGAGTTTGAGTGGCACGGTGGAGGGCAAGTATAACGCGTCCAGTTATGAGTACCATCGTCTACACAAAATCAACCACATCATCAACAGCAACAACATCAACATCAACAACAACAACAACATCAACAACAACAACATACCAACAACCACCATCCCCATGCACCTATCTTGTAACAACAACGTACTAACACCCGATAAGAGCAGCCAACAACAACAAAAGCACGGCAACGAGAACAATGATGATGATGACGGTGACGATAGGCAGCACCAACATCATCTTCTATTTCCTCATCATCATTCTACACCGGATACAATTAACTACCACAACCACCGATCGTACAACCACATCCATCTCTGCTCACCCATCAACAACAACATCAACAACAACAACTACAACAATCACATTTTTACAAGACCAATAGACGCTGATGAGAGTGAAGATGATGATGTATCAGATTATGAGAACCAGCAGGATTATGATGATAACAAACTAAATGATGATGATGACTTACACGGTTAGTTTGTTTGTTCATTGTATTATTTTATTTATTTATTTGTTTATTTATTTAAATAAGACATATTCGTTTTATTAGGCAATGATGATAATGACGTTGATTATGATTATGATGATGGTAATGACAAACATCATCACTACCACCACCACCACCATCATCATCATCATTATCATCACAACCACTGATTCAATCATTGAAAAATAACAACATAAATATTTAAGTTTCAATGCTCTTAAGATTGCTAATGTGCGTACACAGAGCAACAGATTAGTCAAAATAAAATAGCCTTTGTATGTATGTTTGTATGTATGTATGTATGCATGCATGTATGTATGTATGTATGTATGTGTGTATGTATGTATGTATGTATGTATGTATGTATGTATGTATGTATGTATGTATGTATGTATGTATGTATGTATGTATGTATGTATGTATGTATGTATGTATGTATGTATGTATGTATGTATGTATGTATGAATGTATGTATGTAGGTAGGTACGTATGTATCAATACACACACGCGCACACACACTCATAAACAATCAAAAACACATACACGCACGCACAAACATTTGCAATTCAATCACATATTTATCAATGTTATAGGCTAACACCATTAAAATTTGTGTCTATAAGTTGATGGTTTGTGTGTAACGTTTATTTCGTTGTTTTTACGTTGTACGTGTGTTGTTTTACTTGTGTGTGCGTGTTGTTTTTGTATGTATTGTATGTGTTTTTGTATACATTAAATTGTGCACTTGTTCGCTATCACTGTGTGTATGTATGTGTAGGCGTGTGTATGTATGTGTACGTGTGTGTGTGTATGTATGTGTACGTGTGTGTGTGTGTGTATGTGTGTGTGTATGTATGTGTACGTGTGTGTGTATGTGTGTGTGTGTGTGTGTGTGTGTGGGTATGTGTGTGTGTGTGTTTATATTTGTTGCTTAAGTGTTGTTTTGTATGTTTCGACTTGATAAGCGGCATATGTTTATGCAAACATTCTCTTCATGCCCTCCTCTGCCTCCCGTCAACAACGAGGCAGTTAACTGAATTTTGAAAGTTGCAATTAGGAGGGACCACCGCTTACAAAACACACGATAATGATCGCTCGTCATCAAATTAGTTCAATGTTTATCAGCGTAGTGTTAATTTAACGTCATATAATTATTATGACAGAAGGCGCTCAACACTAAGCTAATTTGAATGACAATTGTCCTGAGTGTGTATTTATCAGCTGAACTCATCTGAGGTTTCTATTGCCTTTGTGCCTGTGCAAATCTGCATTTAGATACATACAAACATACATAAACTCACACACACACACACACACACACACACACACACACACACACACACACACACACACACACAGACATTCATACATACAAGTGTGTGAGTTACAAATATTTATGCGTGTTTTGTACTTTTTTGTGGCTGCATGTATGTGTGTATATTTTTTTGCTTGTATGTTTGTGTGTGTGTGTGTGTGTGTGTGTGTGTGTGTGTGTGTGTGTGTGTGTGATTGCACGGAAGTTCTCATTTGAATATTTCCTTTCAATTAATTTGATTATTTTTGATTCTTCGAGCTGATACGATTCAACATCCACACAACCTTCCTAGTCTTCAATTTCAATCTTTTTTTCATTCACTTTTCTTCTGCTTACTCGCATAATTGTTTGTTCATTTGTTTGTTTGTTCACTTGTTGTTCTTTCTGTTTGTTCATTTATTTATTTGGATCAAAAAGCCAGTTGGTACTTTTGTTAAGTGGCGTATCAGACTGGTTGCCGGTGTTCGTGCAACTCAATCAGGGGACATCAGTGGGGAGCATCTGCACCATCACCAACTGCATCCAGCAAGCACTCACCCATGCAGCAGAACAGCATTAAAACTCGCACAAATAAAAAACATTCCACAGAGGAACGCAAAAAACATGGCTCAAAAAACGTGCGAAAAAAAACTCAAGCAACAACAAACAAACAACAAAGTTATTGTTGCTGTTGTGCAACATAATGAGCGCAACAACATCATAACAACACAAACAACGACAAACCCATTCAGGCAGGCGAAATATAACGAAGGTGTTAATTAAGGTATAAGTATGCGACATGCGACACACGCGTGTCGGCAGATTGCGAGCGGAGAAACGAACGGTGTGCATAATAAGCAAAAGTTGTTTCGCCGGCAAATAAATAATAAATGCCGTCGCTTGATTGCCGCGCTCTCCCCAGAGAGGCACTTGGTCGTTTAGTCCTACCTATATTTATCATCGTTAAGTTTGCAACTTGTTAAGAGTCCTGTGATTTCGTCGTTGTCGTTGTGTAGTTTGGTTGTTGTTACTGTTGTTGTTTTGATGTTGTAGTTGCTCTTTTGTTGTTGCTCGTTTGTTGTTGTTCTGATGTTGTTGCTGATGTTGTTGCTAATGTTGCTGTTGATGATGTTTCCTACTGAACGTAAATCATGTTTGAGTTACCAGGCCCTAATTAAAGAATCATATCGTGCGTTTGAAAATAAGAAAGTTATTCTTCATTCCTTCACATCACACCTTCCTTCATTCACTTTCCCATCTTTCCACGTTAATTGCAACTTCATCACTTACTGACAACATGACAAATGAGGTCTTTAAGCTTGGATCTCATTGTTGTTGTTGTTTGTTGTTGTTGTTTGTTGATGGTTGTTGTTGTTGCTGTTTGCTGTTGTTGTTGTTATTGTTGCTGTTGTGCGCTTTTATATGTGCGAGTAGCCGAATAATTACATGCACCTTATGATTTTGCAACTGTTCTGTATTTTTATATTTAGGAAACTTTTGTCTGCGTTCGAGCTGGTGCATTTCAGCAAATTTATAATGATTTTCGCCGGATAACATAGTTTATCTAACACTTTTTCATTTAAATTGTCATTAAATGTTAACTCATTTTATTCCCACATCAACAGACAACAAGCATCAAAGTACTCCGAAATCCTCATCCTCTTCCTCCTCATCGACGACAAGAGACATAGCAGCAACAAAACCACCATCGTTATCATCATCATCAACAGCAGCAGCAGAAGCAGCGTCATCAGCTGCGACGGCTCAATACGAAATGAACATGAAACGCTACAGAACGGCATTCACCAGGGAGCAATTGAGCAAACTCGAGCAGGAGTATCAAAGAGAAACTTATGTGTCGAGGCCACGTAGGTCCGAATTGGCCACCTCTCTCAATCTGCCTGACTCCACCATCAAAGTTAGTTTTTGTTCTACACATTTTATATAGTTATGATGTTTGATACAAATTATTAAATACCATATTTTAGAAAATATGGTATTGAAAATTGTATATATATAGATATATATATACGGATAAATTTAAAAATTTTATTTCTAAATTTGTAACTATTCAATCTTTACAGATCTGGTTTCAAAACCGAAGAATGAAAGACAAGCGACAGAGGCAGACGCTTCCATGGTCTCTGGCCAACCCGAATTTGTGCGCCTACCTCATGCAGGCTGCTGCTCTCGCCAACTCCGCACTGGCAACCTCCAATTCGGCGTCGAAGTACCACATCGCTTACTCTCCATTGGCCCACCCTATGAACTATTTGAACCAGCCACCCAACTTCCACAACCAATCAAGTGCTTATTTGAACCAATCGCCAACAAATTATCCAATTAACCGAAGTGACAGCGGATTTCCTAATTATTCAGGCCATCTGTCGAACAACAATTTTCCACCTGGACATTCTGCTTCGATGGCTCCCCAACGTTTCAATTCACGAGCCAACGATAAATACCGCAGCACTGCAAGTTCAGCTTACAGCAGAATGCTCAACGTCGACCTCCCCAATGCACGAAACATCAACACGCTCGCCAACATCAACTTGAATAGCAACATTAACACAAATAACGACATCAACATACATAACAACAATAAAACACAAAAATACAACAACGTACACCGCAACAGCACACGCAACAACATCAACACACATAACAACAATACACACAACAGCGTAACACACAACAACAACAACGTAACACACAACAATAACACAACACAAAGCAACAACACAGCAAACAGCAACCCATTCAGTATAATAGGCACCAAGTATCCTGATCAAATCGACAACGACAAGAAACCAGTAACAAAGAACAGCTTGAAAGCAGAAAGGCCCCACGAGCGACCTCTATTTAGACCATACCTTTAAACTGCAGCGCATGTAGACAACTTCATGTTAACCTTGACAATTATGTTTTTAAATGTTTTTATCTAACTTTTTTTGTTAATAAATATTGTAAGTAAATTATGATTTTTAATGTATATTAACTAAAAAATGTGCAAATTAAACAAACTTCGTAGAAATATTATCTGATAATTTTTTTTCAAAACTTGAAAGTATTAATAACATTCGCACGTCAATTCATCAATTTTTTTATAAATAAATTGTTTTATGTAACTGGTTTTTAATGAGAATAAAATTATTGTTGCACGTAGAATTTTTTTAATTAAAAATCATATTTCAGTCGATATTTGTTTAAAAACTCTCCTAAGTAATCGAAACAGAAATTCAACAATAACTACTAAACACTTTCAAACTGTGAACTTTTATATACGTAATAGCTGGACTGGCAAGTGTTTCAGCCCATCTAGGCCTAAAATCTAACTGCAATTACAATAATACGCGTAACAGCATTTACTCTATCATCATCATAAAGATGATAGCATAACTTATGCTATCCTCATTAAATACTTGACAAAAATTTTTAAACTTAATGATTGGAAATATGTGAGTAACGTGATCTCTGTGGTGAAGTTTTGAATGATGAACCGACGGCTGATCAAGTAAGCAGATGCATTGTTCTGTTTTGTATTACGGTATGATGAATATGGAAAAATAAAGCTGTAATTGAGGGATATTAATAAGTTGTTATTTAATTAACTTTGTTGTAGGTAAGTTGATGATACCCACAATTTTATTAATCTTATCGACTAAGGAGTGAATGTGTTTTGACAAAGATAGATTGAAGTTGCACTTCCTGAAATTTAGTAAAATCCATTCTTTGTATCAGACTATCATTTAGGCTGATTTGAAGATCTGGTTGAACGTTTAAATTAAACGCTTTAGATAGAACTATAAAGATCCAGTGAGCTAATTTTTATTGAGTAATGTTACTAGTCACTCTTTGGATCAGTTCGGCAACAGCGAATTCAGTTGAGTTGCCATTTCTGAATCCATATTGATTGTACTGTGATAGAAACAGAATTATTTTTATTTCTATACTTTTCAAGTAATAGCTATAAAAACAAGTTTTTATAATATGTTTAGATTTCTAATTAGCTAAAATACAAAATACTAATTAAAAAATAATTATTGATGTCCGTTTTATTCGGTGTTGGAGCGTTATCATTTTATAGCATAAATTTTATATCATTGTCTTGCATGCATTGTCTTACATCTCTGTGTCTGTTAGATTCTGTTTTAAATAGGAAAAAATAGAAAAAAAATCTGTACGACTTTTTCCATTTCGTTTTTCCATATATAATTGAAATTGATGTTTTATTTATATTTTGTTGATCAGTACAATTTTTGTGAAGAATTTTTATAATTTCAATGCTGATCTAATTTTTGAATATTTCCTGCATATTTCTAGCATATTTCTCGGAGATCACTATGATAATATGAATATCTTTATTTTGTGTTATGTCATGTTTTGTTGTTAACTGGGATATTACATCCTGACAACTGTTGTTTATATTTATTACCTTCTAAGATCAAAAAATAAATAAAATTTGTTGTTTTTATTTATAAAAATTGATATGATTTCATTTTCAAATCGTGATGTAACTTCTATGACTTTTTAATAAAAGCATACATTACTTAACTTTGTTTATATTTTCTTTGTTCTATATATTTTTTCTTTGGTTTTTAAAACTTGTTTTATCGCGCTTAGCCCGTAAATCTGTGCTTATTTTAGGTCGTCTGCCACTCGTTTTTTCGAATGTTTTAGTCATGGCAAATGCAGACTCTAAAGATAAAGCGAAAATTTGTAAAGTTGATCCAGCGGCTGAAGTGGGAGTTTGCGTAACAAGTCAAAGTGATGTTCAGCAGACGCCATTCTGCTCGCCTCGTAAAAGTGAAGCCGGCAACAAATCCCAAAAAATACCAAATGTAAACAATTGTCCCCAAAAGGAAATGTCCGCCTATTCAATTGAAAACTCGTTTCAAAAACATCAAAATGATTTGAGTGTGACTAATAGTAGAAGTGGATCAAAAACAAATTCAAATCGTTTTGCAGCGGCGGAAGCAGCTTCTAATAGTTGTGTGGTTCGGTCGAAATCACTAGCAATAGTAAATAATTTTGAACCTGGTCCAGAAGGAAAACTCTTAAAAAAGTCAGATGAAAGTTTTTGTCTCAGTCTTTTGAAGGAGCTTTCAGGTACAAGCAGACAACAGAAACACTATGCATCTTCAATATATGTTTCTGGCAAAGAGTCACAATCCACAATAACAGATTGTAACTTTTCAACACAACAGCATGCTGCTGTCCAATCTACTGTTGAGCTAAACACACAATCTCAACAGACAGACAATATTGATGTAGCTTCATTTGGTGCAGTTCCCGTAGTAAGTTATTTTGTTACTCAGCCATTTCTATAAAATGGTTATTTCACAACACAATAAAACAAAATAAACAAAAACTTATTTATATCATGATTTCCAATGCTTGTTTTTTATATATAGTTAAAAATCTATACTGTTTACAGTTTTATTTATGTTTGATTTTTTAATTACAGCAAGTAAACATAGATTTTGGTCATAAAGATTTCAACTTGAATGATACCAGTACTATAGCCAACCAAATTCTGATAGCCAGCAAAACAAGCAATGATTTAATTCAGAATAACAAACTAATTGATAACGTTTCACAAACAGACCCTGTTACAATTATAATCGGTGATGCATGCCTTTTGGTAGAGAACTTGAGAAGTTCTATAATGAATTCATCAAAAGTGAAATCATCGGCTAATGAAATTGAAATAGAGTTGAACGATGATACATTTAAAAAACATGGAAATGAAATTGAAATGGAATTGAGTGCACGCACAAATAAAAAAGGACCACTGGAACATAACAGGCAGAATTTAATTAAGTCAATCAAAGTTCAATCCGACAATGTTCAGATGCCTATAAGAAAAGGAGGGGTGAGAATGAGATTGCCAGTTGGCATGCTTAGTCCATCAAATAAACCACCAACTCCTTGTATCCCATTTCAATCATTCATTGTTGCTTCAACCCCTCCAGGACAACACATACATAAGTTGATGCCAAAATGGATGCCTAAGAAACTAAAAGGTGTAAAATTGAAGATGCCATTGTCAATATTGAAATCAAACAAACTTCCAGCTCCTTGCATCCCAGACCATTCTCTCAATGTTCCTCCAACACCAGTACAGCAAACCAAACATAAGCGACAGGTCAAGATGGCAAATGTGGTTTTCAGCTGTCCATTCTGTTCATTGAACTTCATCGAGTCACCAGCTTTGTATGAACATCTGAACCAGGCACACGAGTCAGACCTGCAAAATAAGTGGAAGAAGTCGCAAAGTAGGGAGGGCAAGACGATCATTCCAAAGCATCTGCAAACACCAAAGAATTCAAACAAAAGAAGTCAGCTGTTAGCTTATCATATTCCTGATTGGAAATTGTGAGTAGCACAAAATAGAAGAGAAAAGCTCTACTGACTGGTTCGTCAACAAAAGTAGCAACGAAGTTCTTAATTGTTGATTAATTAAATTAGGGCACTTTTAAAAATGAAAAAGAAGATTGAAAAATTGTTATATATTCATAAAACAGCTTCTTTGTTTTTTTAATGTGTTGTTTTGTTAACAGAGCAGTTGTGCATACCGATCTATTGTTCCGTTTCTTTTTTTTAATTGTGAGTATATTAACAATCGCGTGATATTTTATTTATATTTCTGTTATAAGCATCCTTAAATTTTCAAACGTGCAGTTTTGATCACTTTACAGAAAAAACTAATTTTTGATTTTGAAGATTTATGAACAACTTATCTGGTCTAAATCCAGAAACTTTCTTGAAAACGGTGTTTTGATTGTTTCAATAAAAAAATCTCAATTAATTAAATCAAGTTATGTCTTTAATCACCGAACTACAGCATTCATAGTTTCGATGATCACTAGATGTTTTATCTGATTCTAGCATGTTTCTTCTCGGATTAATAGTGTCGCTAGAAGTTCTTACTTTCGTCGTAAAATAAAAAATTTTTACCTTTCCTTGACGATCTTACTTTTCTCCTTCTTGTTACTCCTTCAGTTTTATCTAGGATTGATTATTATAACTCGCTCTGCTATGGTCTTCCTGATTCTACACTAACCTTTAAGTAAAGCTTTTAACACAGCTGCTCGTCTAGTTGCTCGTGCCCCTTTCTTTTCTCATGTATCTATCTCCATATCTTGTTCTCTTGCACTGGCTACCTACAAAAAAAAGGAAAATTTTTAAAATTTGCACATTAATGTTTGAGTCTCAATCTGAATTATTGCCAAAGTACTTATTAAATATTCTATTTGAATCTAGAGCAGAGCTGATCTCTAGATCCATCTATTTGCAAAATTCATTGAGGGACGCTGTTGAACATTGCGGAAATAGTGCTCTACAAACTTATTGATTGATTTAGTAGAAGGTAATAACAGTCACAGTTATATCACTGACAAAAGAAGTTTGATTTGGAGAGAGAAATTTGAGGTGGAAATAGATCATGAAGTCTCATCGATGTTGATTTGAGGATCTGAGTCTCGAATCGTTATTCTCGTTATCAAGGTTTTATTAATCGTTATTCTCGTTATCAAGGTTTTATTAATCGTTATTCTGAATTATGATGAATTATTATGAATCGTTATTCTCGTTATCAAGGTTTTATTCAAGCAAGGTTTTTTTCAACAAGAGACAAGATCCTCGTCTTGTTATTGCGATGTCTTGAATTGAAAAACATGAAAAAAGTTATAAAAATCATAATTTTTGTTCAATTAAGTGATATCGGTTTCTGTTTACTTTAGTCCAGCACATTTGGTAAAGCAGAGTTAGCAAGAAAGCAACTTAGCTCAGACGGTAAAAATACTACGCGTCGTTGTTATTGCGCTGTCCTGATGAGTTTTTGATTACGTCCGTGGGTAGTAGGCTTGTGGTTGATTGTTTTGACATTCATTCAGGCCTTCCATTCCATTGAGAAATTTATATGTTTTCCAGAAACGTTTGTCGATTGAAAGCGTTGAGGTATTCTTTCCAACGAGTGATTTTGTTGTGATCTGATGCTTGTTGAGTTTGAGCTAAACAAAATGGGTCAATGTTACATGATGTTGGATGGATGGAACGAAGGAGGTCACATTGTTTCATGATGTTTTTTTAATTGAGATTCCTGTTTGGATTAAATATGGCTTTTGTGTTGACTGGCTGAATGGACAATACCCATGTGGACAACTCCCTATGAAATATTATGTGGTTTGGTTCACTGACGTTTTTAAACAAATAAACGAACTGGCAGTTTTCGTCTTCGATAAAGTTTTTTTTTTTGTTGAATTGTTCTAAATTCATTTAAAATGTTTGGTCGTAAGAAAAATCCAGCTCCTTCCCGCAAGTCCGACGGAGGCAAAGCACTCATGGCGCAGGTTCGCATTTTTCATTTAAAATTTAATTTAAAATTTAAATTAAATTTTTATTTTAAGTATTTAAATGTTTTTAATTTAAATTTTTTAACCTGTTTAAATAAATTAAAGTGACAATTGTGGATATCATATAATATATAATATATTAAAGATAACCAATATAAAAATATTTAACATGTCATATAGGTTATTTTATTTTATTTATTGTATTTGTTTGTATTTGTATGTTATCTGATTTTCTTTTTTAATAATCAATGTAGAAAGCTCTGAATATGGGTTATATATATTTTATTATATGTGACAACATAATACATAGTATTGTATTAGGTATTTTCTATTACAATATATTATATTGTATTTTATGGTAGTAGGAAAATTATAAGTTATGTCCTTATTCAAGAGTTAACTCCAATGTAATATAATATAATATTCTAATATAGTGTAATATAATTATAGTGACATAATAAATAAGGTAACATAAACAATTTATTGCAACAAAAACAGATTTAGTCACTATGTTATATAAAAAAAGAGAATGATTCAGTATATTTTGTTGGTTGACATATTCTTTTATCTTAATTTAAACTTATAAAAGAATCACTTTAAAATGTTGGCAGATGGGTTTTGTGATGGATGTTGATGACATGGTCCTTGGCTCTCCAGATGGCAATGATGACGACCTTGAGGCTGAACTGAGAGCTTTGGAAGCCGAGAATGAAAGGGAACACAAGTCGAGATCCATCAAAAAACAACAAAGTAGTTATCAAATGTTTTTATTTTGTTTCTATTTTATAATTCAATTTAAATGCTTGTTTTATTTTATATTCTATTTGCTCTATCTATTTCTATCCATTTTGCTGAAATCGAAACATTCAGTTTTGTTTTGGTTAAACATGCAATTTGTTACTGCTGCAAGGAACTATGTAATTTTGGGATTTGAAAAGAGAATACATGTGGAAATTTGACTAAAAATTAAAATGTGTAAAGTAAAAGGTTTATTGGCAATAGCAATGCAAATAAACATTGTATCTCAAACAGTTATTGCAAACTATAATATTGATGAATAACTTGTTGAATACATTTGAAAAAAAAAGATGAACCATCAAAGATAAAGTCAGCAGGAGAACTTGAGAAGATGATAGCACTGAGTATGAGGGACCTGCCCAATGAAGATGAAGATATTGAAGTCTCAGACACCGAAGACCCTGACATATTGGTTGGTTCTGTCAAATTATTCATCAAACTTTTTGTTATTGTTTCATTGTCAAGATTTATTAACTCAAATGTTTGAAGCAGTTCTGTCCAGAGGAAACATTTTATGATCTTTAATTTTTTTTCAATATATATTACAAAAATGAATGTATTAAAAAATGAAACATTGCTTTGGTGGATACAGGCTGAACTGAATGAATTAATGTCGGATGATAATGATGATGTGGAGGACGATGGTCGTGTAGGCCACAAACAACAACAATCATCGTCGTCGTCATCACTGTTGAAGATGCTTGAAGAACGACACAACAACTACAGGGAAGGCATCGAAGCTTCGAAGCAGGCAGGTGACCAGTTGAAAACCAGAAGATTGGAAAGAGGTCTCAAGGTCAGTCGGTCGGTCGGTTGGTTGAATGATTTTTTTTGTTGATGGTTGATTGACTGATTGATTGATTGATTAGTTAGTTGGCTGGCTAACTGAGTAGCTGGTTGGTTGATTGGTTGGTTGGTGGATTGATTAGTTTGTTGGTTTGCTGGTTGATTTGTTCACACTGGATATTTTTTGTTTGAAACTTGCGTGTTAGTTATAACGTTTATGTTAATTGTGACGTTGCACGCATATTTGTTGATAGTGATGCTGAAAATTAAATTTTGATTTTGCAAGTTCTGCTCTCAGACCCATCTAACAATAAAACGTCTCTTCATCAGATTTGATTGGGCGTCATATTCCAAGCACATTTTTTTTATTTAACCAACTATTTTCTATAAATATTCACTTTTTTAAAAGGTCACTTAAATATTCGGGATTATTCAATATTTTCTATAAAGTTTAGGTTATAATAAGCAGACACAAATAATTCATATCTTGTTCAATTGAATTTTTACAAAAAAGTAAGTTAAGATTTAAAGCAGCAAAATTGTGGAAACTATTGCAGTAAGTGTTAAATTGTGAATGACATGATTGTTTCTTCAAGATTGTTCACTTCTTCTTATCAATTTGGCTCAATCCATTCAACATCATTTCATTTTGAAACATTCCCAACGTAATTCAACTCTATATTGTCCACAGATCCTGGAAGATTTAGTGAAAAGTGTGAAATCAGGAAGGTCAGTTGATGAATCCGAAATTCCTCCTGCTGTTGTGATTGCCACGAAACCGAAGATTGCTTTAAACGTAGAATCTACATCATTTACATCATCGACAACAACAACACAGGCAACAATAACGCAGGCAACAACAACACAGGCGACACATAAATTGATAACAAACAACATCAGGCAATCATCTTCACCGACAACTAACGCACCTCATTCACAGCCCACAAACCTAGGTACAAGTACTGCATTCCATTCATCCATTTCATTGTTCACCTTATTTATATGCATCTCTATTGAGTTCTCAAGTTTTGATGAATACCCATGTTATCTAAAGTCATGTTATTATTAACTTCATTAAATATGGTTATAAATAATCTGCTGCTGTGTTTTTACAATGTATTTATCAATCAATCAATCAATCAATCAATCAATCAATCAATTAGTTTATAAAGTGCTATTTATTTATTCTTAAGTTTTAATCAACGCATGGGGATTTTGAAATTTTTCAATCTTATTTTTTTTTTTTTAATATTCGGGTTCAGCCATTTGTGTGCTGGACAATGAGCGTGGGTGAAATAAAATATGGATGGTACAAGGGTAGCATCTCTCCTTGGTTTTAACAGCCTGTGCATGGGCTGCAACCGCCAGATGAACAGCTTCAGGAAACATGAATATTGAGTGGAAATTGAGGAAATAATATTTCAAATAATTAAAATTACAACTATTCAATAATTATGAATATTGAGTTAAAATTGAAGGAAAAATATTTCAAACAATATCTTTGTAAATGTATTTTGTTCTTGAAATGGCATTAAAATATTTCTTTGGGAAGGAAGATATTGAAATTAATGTGTTAGTTTTCGGAAGCAAACCTTTCAACTGCTTTGTGAAAGATTATCAATTGTGAATGTTTTCATTAAATATTTCTTCAATGGTGTGCAGACATAATTGTTTATCACTCACAGGGTTTCCTTTGCAGCAGCAACAACATCAGCCTAATCATCCCTCTCAAGATCTGTTTTCTCAATCACAGTCCCAACAGCTCCAACAATCTCAGCAACAACGGTTTCAAGCTCAGCAACAACAACCACCGCGTCAACAACCACTACCACCACATCAGCCACCGCTACCACAGCCACAACTTCCATCAGTTCTCCCACGCACATCTCTTCCTCCACCACCCCTCAAATCACCCAACATGAATTCCCCAATAAGTTACAAGGAGTTTCTTAACTTAACAGGTTATCATCATCATCATCATCATCATTATTATTATTATTATCATTATTATTGTTATTATTACACCACTGGAGGTTCGTACATTTTAAATACATTTCATTACAGTTATTTAGACAATTAGACAATTATTTTAATAATTTGTTTTTTCTCATCATCGTCGTCATCATCGTCGTCGTCATGACGATCCAGATGATAAGAAACAGCTGATACTAGCAGAGCAGTGTGAGGCATTTAAGCAGGAGGCACTGAAGTTGAAGAAGGAAGGAATGAAGGAGCAAGCTGTGCACTGCATCAAGACATCCAAGGTCGGTTTAGTACTGCTTTGTTTCCGAATACGTGAATTAGTTTATAAATCAATATGAAATGGATAAAAAAAGACGAAATTATTTATAAATCTACATGAAATGGATAAAGTGTGTGTTTGTGTACACTAAGTAAACTGTGACAGAAGACATTCAATTTGTTATGTTTCTGAGTGGGTTGTGTTCATTATGATTTGTTGTGCATCTTTGGTGAGTTTGTTGCGCCCATTATGATCAATATCAATTAATTATTTTCAAGTTTTTTATTTTGCTTTATTTTTGTGTTCGTGGACTTTAAATTTTCAACTGATTTGATCTAATGTCATCGCCAATTAAACAGCAATTTGAATCAGTTGCTCTGGCATTGAAGGATGGCAAGCCAGTGGATTTCAGTGGCATGCCAGCATTCATCTCATCCTTTTCATCCACATCACCCATGCTACCAGCGCACAATGGTGATTATTTTCTTATTAATTTTCAAATTGTTTCAACTTGCTTCTGCGTTGATATGGCCATGCATGTACATGTACAATTGTACATGCCGGCTATGTGGATGATGGCATTAAGGTTAAGAATGATTGATTGGATTGTGTAGGTAGTTAAAGTGTTAAAGTACATAACATAACATAGATGTTACCTAGGTGGGAATGCAACTGATGCAGTATTCATACATGTCTCAGTATTCATTTTATGTTTTTTGAAACATATGGAAAACTTTTTTGCTAGGCTCTTGTTGTTTTGCATCTGACAGTAGTGGTAGTCAAGTTGTTAAGCCTGAAATGTGTCAGGGATGTCGTCTGTGTGGAGTTTGAATGTGTGAACAGGGCCAATACAGTTTTTATACAAGCGCGAAATTTAAGCTTGAATGGTGATAAACGAACTGCGTATTTGAATTCAGTATGAATGCATATACGAATGTCATGTGGAAAGTCTAACTGTGAATGTAGTGGACTGTTGTACAGTGCAGGAGTACAGTAGTTCGTTGTTGCTTTGGAATGTATGTGCATGCATAGTTAAGCGAGTTGAATATGCAGAGTTTTAAGTGAATGGCTATTGTCTCTATGAAATTAACTTTGTGTGAATTCGTTTTAAACTGAAGTTGTGAATTCGTTTAGTTGACGTTAGAATTATGATTTGCGTTAATTGCGTTGCGTTAATTACGTAAACGTTGGTTTATTTGGTATTATTAGCGTTTCTTTCAATACTGTAGAATGTTGTTTTTTCTGTTCGGTTCCCCTAGTAAAAGTAATTTTGAAATCAACTCGTCTGATTGTTTTTTGTCTATGATTTGAGAAGGAAACCCGGCAGAGTGTGCAACGTGATCACAAGGATTTAAGTTGTTAGGAAAATCAGGAGGAAATGATTCATAGATAGTTGGAAGGCAAGTTGACTTGTGTTTCATGTTATGTAGAAAGATTCCAAGAATCAAACTGAGTTTGTAGCAAAAGTGCCAGGCTCTTTCTATGATTGATTATATAAAAATGTGTTGGAATTACATTGGATGGTATTAAAATATTTTTTATTGTGTTTCTCAAATATAGAATATTTAGTTTAAACAATTAAGAAATAAAATTTCATAATTTAACTTGTTTTTTAAATGTAGTGCTTGCGTCATTCATCAAAATATGATTTCTCACAAAACTAGCTCCAGGTAGCGTACGTGATAGCATGCAGGGATCTTCAGCAAACCCGCCCCAATCTTCCTCAGCACACCTGGCCCAACCATCGTCGACAAAACAAACGGAAGTTGAGACGGTTGAGTTATCAACTGAAGGTATTGTGCTTCCATTTGATGAATTATATTCGCTTAGTCATTCTGTTACGTGTTTGTCTGCTTGTATATGGTGACGTTAATATATAGGCGCACGTGCGAAGTGCTCATTTCTGAATGCGTCATTTTTTGATGACTTTTGAGGTTGCGGGCTAGAAAGATGTAAGCTGAAAGTTAGTCACAACGCAGTCGTTTGTTCTCTCTGATCGCTTTGATTTTTGGCAGTCTGAAACATCGAGGAAACTTTACAGCAGCAAACGGCCACTTAATGAGGTACTCGAAGTCCATAGCCGTGAAAGGAATTGTTGAGGTTACGATTTCTGTGGGCATTTTATTCCATCTACCTGATGGTTGTGGGGTTTACATTTTTGCGGTTTACAACGTTTCGACTGGAGGTGCATGGAGCCAAAAACGAGTTTGAAATTGCGTAAATGCTGCTTACATTTATTGTTTTATGCTCGGTTATTCTTGCTCATACATTAACAGAGTTGAATGAATTTGCTTTAAATGAAAGGTAAATAAAATATTTCCAATTCACAAAGTTGTTGTAAGTGTTTTTTTTTATATAAAATAGAAGCGCCAACTCCATAGAATTATTGCGAAGGCAAGATTACTTTCACAAAGTTGTTTTGATTGCTTAATAAATAACTTTTGTGGTTCACTCTATTCCAACAAGCAGTGAAGTTGTTCTGTTAAGTGTTCAACAAATTGGTTTAAATTATAAATTTCCGGCAACACCGGTACCGAGCATTACAAGTCCCGGGCCGGATGAGCCGGGATCACTGCAATCCGTCGTCAGTCAATAATAACGATGGATTGTATTGTAGCAGAACAAAAATAAATCAATACACGAACAGAGACAAAGAAGTTGTACAAGGCGCCTGAAGTTGGAGCGACTTTGATGGAAGCTCTGCTGGCCAGGTGCTTGAATGATGATGATGATAATGGTGATGATGATGATAATGATGATGATGATGGTGGTGTTGATGATAGTGGGGATGATGATGATGAGGATAGTTGTGATGATGATGGTGGTGATGATGATGATAATAATAGTGGAGATGATGATGATGATAGTGGGGACGATGATGATTACGATAACGGAAGTGGTTGTGGTAATGAAGAAGATGATTGTGATGATGATGATGTGGGCATGACAGCAGGACGGTTACAGTGTTGATGAGAAAGAGGTAATATTGATGGTTGTGGTTGTGATTCAGTGGTTGTGATTCAGTGGCTGTGGTTCAGTGGTTGTTGAAAGTTCATTCTAAATTTATTCATCGATTAATTTATTTTCATTAGGTTAATTAATTGATTGATTGGTTGGTTGTTTGGCTGTTTGATTTATTGATTGATCGATCGATCGACTGAATGACTGACTGGCTGGCTGACTGGCTGGCTGACTGACTGGTTTTATTGATTGATTGATTGATCTTGGCAGGTTGGCCAAGTACAAAGAAGGCGAGGAGCAGGCAAACAAGGAGGGCAATTCAAACAAGGCACGAAGAATGAACAGAATAGTTAAGGTGCTAACTGTTGTTGTTGTTGTTAACGATGATGAAGGTGATAATGATGAAGGAAGTGGTGATGACGATGATGATGATGATGATGACGATGATGATGACGTGAAGCTGACGATGATCGTTGTTTTTATGCGGTTTTTTCTCTACTGTTTATCACATGTTTCAATTATATTCAAGACTCTTCCTTCGGCCTATCGTCTAGATCATTTTTTCATTTCACATTCATTTATTCATTTTTATTTGTTTATTCATTCATTCATTTTTATTTACTCAAGTCCACATACGCTTAAACTTTTAATCCACCGTTCAATCTATTTTTTAGATTATCCATCTCATCTTTCAGTTACCTTTTCAATCTTTCATTAAAAAATTAATTAATTAAGTTATTTAATTAATTCATTTATATTCATTCATTTCCTCACTCATTCATTTATTCATTCGTTTATTCATTCATTCATTCTACCATTTTTTCACTTGTCCATCCATCCGTCCATTCATCCATTCAGCAATATGAGGGGGCAATAAAAATGACAAAGAACAAGAAACCGTACGACTACAGTGAACTGCCTGATCCGCCTGGTTACTTTCCACCACCACCACCATCATCATTATCATCATCATTGCTGTTCTCACCATCATCATTATCATTATTTTTGCAGGCTATCCTCCACTGCCGATAAACAACTCGCCTCAACAACAAAGTCAACAGTCTTCGCAACAACAGCCACAACCACAGCAGACACAACAGCCACAATCCTCGCCTTCCTCGCCACCTCCTCCCAAGAAGCCATCCCCCATGCAGCCGCAGCAGAAGCAGATGTCGCGACAAGGTGTTGTTATTCATAATGAAGTTGTTGATGTCTATGTTGTTAGTTACCGAGTAAATGTTGTAAATTTATGTTTTTTATGTTTTTTATGTTGTTTGGGTTATGTTGTTACGTCTTGGTTATGACATTAAACTGACCCTCACTGCCTTGTGAGTGATGTTGGATCATCAAAGGCTAGGCCCACCGCTTATAACTGTGGTTGCGTAAGGAAGGGCGTCCTGCGTAAAAATTAGCAAAAAAAAATTACTTATGATGACGAAAGTGACAATGGCCCTCAGTGAATGGCGTCGAGGGGTATTTCGGTTTCATCATAGGTAGCCAAACGGCAACCCCCGATCTCGGGGAAAATGTCGTCTAAACGTGTGTTGTTGTTGTTGTTGTTGTTGGGTTATGTTGTTGCTATTTGTAATGCGATTGGCGTCCGGTTTTTTTAGCTATCGTCAAGCGTTCATTTCTCAAAACAAGTTTGGCATGATGGAGTGTGTGTACCGTGCGTCATAACATCTCCCAGCTTTCATCGTCATAATGCTCACTAGCTAACTACCCTCGTTGTTCTCTTACTCTTCCTCTTCATCACTATCATGACTTTCATCATCATCACGACCACCACAACCACACAGCATCCACTGTGCACAGCAGAGCGGAACAACAAGCAGTCTTCTTGGAGCAGAGGTTAATTCACACGCTCACGTGCACAAACTCACAGACACTATTACACACACAAACAAGAAATACATGCATGCATCTATAGACACATACTTATATACTTACAAAAAATAGTATAATAATACTCATACTCATGCCCACCCACATACACACACACACAGACACACATACACACATATATCTTGTGTATCTTCAATGGTATACATTTTTCTGGTTTATCATTTCATATTACTAAGGATAAATTAATGTTATTAATGTTATGAAACAAACAAAGATATATACATATAGTTATTATCATTTGCTCATAATTGTTGTTATAATTACTGTTATAATTTGTGTTCTTGTTGTTGTTATTGTTATTTTTATCATTTCGTAAAAAGTTTTAAAACAATAATTGTTACATGTAAATGGGTTAGGCAGCTAAAGTTCAAGAAGGCAGCCATGCAAGCCAAATCATCAGGGGACATGGAGCTCGCCAAGAAGTACATGAGGATGGCTAAGGTGGATGTTTTTCGCTGTTGTTGTTGTTGGTTGTTGCCGTTGTTGTTGTCTGTGTTGTTGTTGTTCGTGTTGTTGTTCGTGATATTGTTGCTGGTGCTGTTCCCACTGGTGGTGTTGTTGATGTTTTTATGTCCCTTGATTGTACGCTTTTTATGATCGCCTCATTGTACACCTGGTTTTATGGTTGGTTGGTTGGTTAATAGTTTTTGTTTGCACATTATTTCTTGAAAAGGGTTTTGACCAGATGATCGAAGCATCTAAATCAGGCCTTCCGGTTGATCTCTCTCAGGTTTGTCAATACACCCTTGATGTTGACATTACAGCCTTTATTTATTTATTTATTTTCATGTCCAAAAATAAAATCATTGGCACAAATGTTTCGTTGCAACCAAGTAAGAAAGGATTTGTATGTAGTAACATGTCCGGATGTCAAAGCTTCATAACTGAGAATGAAAGAAATAAAATGACGTAATCACGAAAACATTTTAAACGTCACCACCACGACCACCGCCACCGCAGATCCCCACACCACCAGGAGAGGACGTGGATGGCGACTTTGTGTTGGTGAACGCGAGTGATGTGTGCAGTGACGACGCACAGGAGGTCTATAAGAAGTTGCAGGATGAACTTCTGCATCAGATCAAGGTGAAATGCTGTCGTTGATGATGCCGGTGCTGGTGTTGGTCGTGTTGTTTATGTTGTGGTGACGTTTTATTGATGTTTATATTGCTGGAGTAGTTTGACTTTTTAGATATTTTAAATTAACATTTTTTCGTTCAACATTTGTTAATTTTTTTAGGTATTCATTGCTTTTCTTCTGTCAATATTCTTTCTTCTACTTTGTTTTTACTCGTGCAAATTGAAAAGCAGGTGAACGAACTGAATGAAAATAATTGACTAGCATCACCTGTAGCATCATTAAATATAAATTTGCGTTTTCTTAGGCGTGCATTAGTTATTTTATTTCTGAAGTTAGTTGAAAAATCGTCTGAAGTATGATTGACAATCGAGTTGGTAAAATCAAGTCTCGATTCGCTGCACAAAATACTGTGCCACAATTTTTTGACGTGATTTGTTGATTGCAATTAGGTGGTTGCAATATTCTTTCCCCTCCCTTTGAAACAAAAACGATTTGAAAGCGAATTAGGTTTCTTTGAAATCGTCCTTCAAATTTACGACAACGTTTTTCTGCTGTACGACATTCATCGTCGGAGCACAGATCAACAGGATGAGGTGTGGAAGTTGCAAGGTGAAACGTGGCAACATTGCCACAAATTTTGCATCTCATCTTTAAAAAATTATCAGCCTGTGTCCGGGTTCTTGATATTACTCATATCCTGATCAAAGAACATTCCATCAACGACTTGAACCGCTTTTTATCAATTCTTCTCCATGAACGAAATGGTTTTTTTGTTTTTATGCATGGTCTATTTAAGCGTTGCTGTAACAAGTTGAAGTGGACGAGATTTTGAAATTCCGTCATCCATCTTGAACATTGATAATGTAATGTTAAAATTAATTTATATCTATTTTTTCAACTTTTTCATCGCAATGATCTAGAAGGGTTTCCATACCTTACTGTGTCAGTTAGATTCATTGTTGTTTTATCTTTGCGTCCACCCACTATAAAAAACATGTTTCGACATTTCATCTTTATTGCCTTCAAACTTTCTGAAAATTTTCAAAACTTTGCATATTTCAAAATCATCGTAATCCATCTTCATATTATCATTTACTTCATTACTCCGATCACTGTGATCAACCTTGGCATCATTTACGTCAGTGCTTCTCGAACTTTTTGGTTCGGCGGACCGGCAACGAATTTAACAGGAACGTCGCGGACCGCCACCCAGCTTGCGGAATATATATATATATATATATATATATATATATATATATATATATGCGAAGTGTTATCAATTTTACAAAATTTGAATCTTTTTTTGTATAACTTCATTCAAAATGAAATAACAATAAAAAATATTTCGACATTAGAAAATAAAAATTGTTGTAAAAAATTAGTGAGATGAATGAGCTTGTTTTCTATTTATTAATTCCTCAAGACGTGGCTGAAACGAAGACAGTGCCACACGTAGCGGAGAACAAACTTCCAAACAGTTTCTGTATTTTGTTTTCATTGCAGTCAAACATGAAAATCCAACTTCGCATAAATAAGTAGAAGGGAAAGGAAGAAGGGTTTTTATTGCTTCGTCAGTGAGCTCTGGGTATCCGACTTGATGCTGATCCAGAAAGCGGAAAGAGATGATGTATTTTCAAACTTCATTTTTAGGCCTTGGTCAGCAGCAAGCTCCAAAATTTTATCTTCCAACTTAACAGTCAAATTTTTCTTATGTTCAACAAAAGGATTTCTGATCCATGTCTTTCCTATTCGTGGGTCATCCTCCGTTGGAAAATAAAATTCAAACCGTTCAGATAAGCTGGACAGATGCTCAATGATTAAGGTTTTCAAACTTTTGATGTCAAATCCTTTGCCTGCTTCATCAATGACTATAGCTAAATTAAAAAACATTTCGAAACATTCTTTTTCCAATCTTTTTATCCAAGATTTTAGCTTTCTTTTTTGTCCTTCAATTTTATCAGCCATCGTGAAAACAGTCGCCATTTTCCCTTGGATTGAAATATTGAGATCATTTAATAATGCAAATATGTCTGACAAATAAGCCAATTTTGCGAGCCAATTGATATTCATAAGTAATTCTGACCAGATGGGCTTTTTAACCTGCAGAAACTCTGCTAGTTCATTTTTTAATTCCTTTCCTCTGGATAGCCAACGCACTTCAGTGTGTAGCAATAGATGTTTATGATCAGCCCCCATTTCTTCACATAATCTGGCAAAAAGTCTTGAATTTAGTGCATTTGCTTTCACATAATTTACTATTTTGACTACTTCGCTGAGCACATTATTCAGTTCATCTGACATTTTCTTCACTGCTAAACTTTCTCGGTGAGTGCAACAATGTGTTGCTTTACACTCCGGTGCTATTGCTTTAATTTTAGTTACAACACCAGAATAACGTCCAGTCATTGCTGCAGCACCATCTGAACAGACACCAACACAATATTTGAAATCTATTTCTTTACCAATGATATATTCACTGACAGTTTTGAATACTTCAGAACTTGTTGTATTTGTTGGGAGTGATGCTGAAAAGAAAAATTCCTCCTTTAAATCTCCTTCGTATTCAAAACGAACATAAACTAACAAAATAGCCATATTGGCCACATCTGTGCTTTCATCCAGCTGCAAAGAATAATACTTTGTAAGTTTCATTTGTTCAACTACCTGCTCTTCAATGTCTTCTGCCATATCGCTAATGCGTCGACCAATAGTACTGTTTGAAAGTGGCACCTGGTCTATTTTTTTTGAAGCCTGCTCACCCAGCATCTCAAAACAGACATCTTTGATGCAATCTTTTATTAACGTTTCACCAATTGTGAATGCCTTTTTCGCTTTGGCAATTCGCAGAGCTACTTTATATGATGCTCGTAGCGCACACGTGTTTATATGGGAAATACGAAACATTTGTTTTTGGCGACTCTTCAGATCAATGCGTTTTCTCTCAAAATATTCTTTTGGTTTTGTGCAAATGTCTTTGTGTTTGGTATTTAAATGTCTTTTTAGTTTTGATGGCTTCATTGCTTCGTTCGACAAAACCTCGCTGCAAATAACGCACTGCGGTTTCAACTCTGTTCCATCGTCCATTGGCATGAAGCCAAATTGAATGTATGATTCATCGTACTTTCGAATGAAGCTAGTTCTAATACGTTTTGTTGCACACGTTTCAATACCAATTGCCTTTACGATGCCATTTTCATTGTCTGAAACTGAAGAATCGTCACTACTTTCATATATCAAATTCTCTTCCTGACGTTTCCTTTTCAAAAATTTGTCTATCGGGCCTTGTTTCGCCATGCCTAAAGTAGTTATTTTTGAATAAAATAAACTTTTACTTTCAAGAAAACAAATTAGCGGTCTTGATAACATCAAAATAAAATGAAAATATTAAAAAAAATCTGAACCAACCTGACAATAGTTCTAGCAACTTTATATATTAATTTGAATAAAATTTAATAAATTGCAAAATGAGTTATTCAATTTATATATAAATTTCAAAATTACAAATATATTTTAATTTAGCAATAACGTTGTTAACTCCTAGTTTTACCGGGTTTTTATCAATTTTACTCTGAACATGTGCAAATAGCTGATAAAGAAAGATTGAATATTTAAGCTGGATCCGATAGTTAATTGGTCAAGCGTCCTTTCGCGTTATCACATTGAATATTAATTATAGTCATGCATATGCATTCGTGAACTTGCTTACCTTTAAACTCATCTACTAGTAATAACAATGACTTTCGCAATTGCGTTGCTGTTCAAGCTATGAATTTTCTGATTAATTTTCAAAATTTTTGGAACCTCGCCGCGGACCGGCAGCTATTGGTCCGCGGACCGGCGCCGGTCCGCGGACCACCACTTTGAGAAGCACTGATTTACGTTACCTTTCAGAAGATTCGTCACGTATCTTCATAATAACAGGTACTTTCTCTAAGTGATGTACTCCACTATCCACGTCTCCATCATCATGTTCATCGTCATCTGTTTTGTTATCTTCAACAATAAATACAACTTCATTCTCATATATTTTGTCATCTGCATCTTCATTTACAATCTCATCGTTATCTTAGAGGTTGTCATCTCCATCCTCATACACTTGTTGGTCAGCCAGCATTCTCACTATCATGTACTTCATTATCTTCATAATCATGTATTTCATTGCAAATAAGCAACAGGACATCATCCTCATCATCTTCTTGGTTACCACCCTCATCATCATCCACATCATCATCTTCATCTGCAGCATCATCTACTTGCTCGTTATTTTCATAATCAGGTTGAATATAATAATATATATTTACATCATCAATGTTACCTCATTATAATCGTGTATATCTTCATCTTCACGATCTTCATTGATAAAGACTATATAGATTTCTGGTTTGACAATGGCCACTGGTCTGTTTGGATCATGATGTGCGTTAGAAAACTTGTCCATCTTCTTTTTGAGCCATTTGAAAATTTATTACGAAAAAGAAATCTGTTCGAAATTTAAATTGGTCTTGCCATTAAAGTTGCACTTTTCACTACTACGGCGGAATGTTTTACAATTTAATCACGCACCGGATGTTACAGGAAGCTATAAATAATGTAGAATTTAAAACAGAATTTAGGATCTATTAAAAAAATGTATCTATGACCGCAAACATTGTGTAGTCTCGTGAAGTTTGTATTCAGCATAACAAATATATGAATGAGATTCTTTTTTCAAAATTATTAAAGATACTTCTTTTAACTTACACACAAACGTACATGCATACATATATACATACATGCATATTTACGGGCATACGTAGTTGCTTACATATATACATACGTACATACATAATTGTACATATGCAAATGTACATACATAAAATAATATATATACAAACTGCAATACCTACGGCAAAGTCGGATGAGAATCGAGCTCAACAGGGTCTTTCTCCGCTAATTCTGCCAAGCCCGTTCCCTTGGCTGTGGTTTTGCTAGATAGTCGACGATAGGGACAGTGGGAATCTTGTTAATCCATTCATGCGCGTCACTAATTAGATGACGAGGCAATTGGCTATTTGAAATTTTCATTAAAAGTTAAACATCTCAACCACCGAAAAACAAAATGAAGCAATCTACAATGAATGTAAGTATCAAATTCAAATGTCAAAATACGGGCATGCGGACATCATGTCGATATTCACGCACGCATTCAGACATGTTCAGTGACATTCAAACGTTTGTCTAGTTCCCTACATGCATACGCGGGCTCAGCGCCCTGCACGCACACCACATTCATTGTTCCTTGGTTTATTGTCCACTGGCCTGGTTGTCTGTCATTTGACGCGACGCTGTTGTTGAAAGCCCATCAGCACATCCGGAGCAGAGCCTTTACCAGAGGCATCATCATCGTTGGCGATCTGATGACGTTGTGTCCCAGATGATTTCACTGCCCTGATCTCGGATGGGGCCCTCAACTTTCTTTTTTTTTGCCTTCTTGTCCAGCCTTGTGCATCTCTGATGGCATCGTCAGCTCTCTTTTCGCTATTTTTTTGTCCAGCCTTTCACGCGGTTCGTCCTCTGTCGATGGACGCTCCAGATTTTCAGTAAAGCCGCGTTTAGCTCTCAATTTATTATGGAGCACTGCTTCTCTCACTCTCATGTCATTTCTTTTGAATAAACAGTCTCGGCTCACGTACAATCCATCGCCTCCATCCTACTTAACAATGCGTTTACACCACATACATACATACATACCAACGAACGAAATTTCATTTGCTTCTCCAAATTTATTAATCTAAAAAAATAATTAATAAGAAGACAGGATGACCACAGTAGAGTTTGTTCAGGAACTCAATGAGTGTGGCCATCTTAACATTACTTTTAAAATGAAATCAGTTTTCAAAAGAAATTATTAAAAAATAGTATTACATAAACATAACATTCCTATTTTTCCTGCCTTATATATAAAAGTATTTCTTAAAAGAATAAATACAAAATGAAAGTGAAAAATGTTTACTATCAACCGGAATTTCACATAATTCATGTTTTATACTTTAATGAATACATACATACACAAACATGCATACAAAATACAGATGTGTGAGACAAACAGAAACATGTTCACAAAACTTGGTGATATATCATCTGCAAACAAGTTTGTTTTCATTCACCACCATCATCATCACCATCATTGTCATCATATCAGTCATCGCAATCAGCATCGTGCCATTATCACGAGCGCTGTCGTTGTCATCATCAAGGTCATCATCATCATTATCATCTTATATGTGATCAATCTATATTGTAAGCATAATTATTATAAATGTAACAAATGTCGTTATCACCATGCAATGAACACCATCATCTTCATCAATCATTGTTATTATTATTATTACTATTATTATTGTTATTATTATTATTGTTGTTGTTATCATTATTATTTTTATGATTCTAAACATCATATTGAACAATATCATCGTCGTTTTCTTGGACATCATCGCCATCATCACTATGAACACCATCATTACAAACTCCATCTTCATTAAGTATTATATAATATATCATCATGTTGAGTGTTCTGGATCGTTGTATTGAGTGTTCTAGATTGTTGTATTTAGTTTTGACTCCGGATTCAACTTACACACCATAATTTAACTTTATTATCACTACTAAATGAAAAAATATCTTAAAAAACACTTAAAATCAGTCAATTTACTTGTTTTTCATAGTAAACTTTCTTTATATTTGTTTTACAATATACGGAGTCAAATTATGTGATTTTCAGATTAACATTTATTTTCAGTTTTAAAGATGATTTCTTATAGCTATGCATATTCATTTTCTTAAGAACACAATCCTAAAAAAAATCCAACTCCAGCAAAATCTCATACTCCGACAATCTGGTTTCGAATGATCAAATAAATTCAATATTAATAAACTAATATGAAATAAAGACAAAATAATACCAGTACAAACAATCAAACATCCAACATATGCGTACAACATATGCAGCCACACATGCATATCTACATACATACACGCATACATACACTCATACATACTTACATACATACATACATACATTATACATACATACATACATACATACATACATACATACATACATACATACATACATACACACATGTTCAATTAAATGTTCAATTGAACGCCGACGTGAGCGAATAACGAGATATCAATTGTTAACCGATTTTTTCAGATGTTTGACTGTTTAGTGTCACTCATCGCTGATTTGGTTTTAACATACACACATACATACATACATACACACACACACACATACATACAAGCCAACATACAAACGAGCAAACGTACATTTCAAACTTACATGCAAACACACAGATTTGAAAGAATGATGGATGGATCTAGGAAGGACTTGGAATCATTGAAGAATGCTTTCCAACATTCGGATCCCGTGCCACGATTTCATTATGAGACCAGGCAGTTCTCGGTTGTTCAGTTCGTGCTCTTTTTTGTTTCGTTGTTATTCTCTCTCTCTCTCTCCCTCTCTCTCTCCCTCTCTCTCTCTCTCTCTCTCTCTGTTCCTCTCTCTCTCTCTCTCTCTTTCCCTCAGATGTCTTAACCATTACACCATCTCTTTACCCAAATGTTGTGGAGATGTGTATGTTATGGTTGATGATGATAATGATGATGATAATGATGGTGATGTTTTACATTTAGTTGATTTGATACTAAAAATAAAGTTAGCAACAATTTTTGTCAAATTTCCAAGATTTAATTTTTTTAATTACTTTATTTTTCAATTATGTATCTATTTTTCCATTCATTCAATCATTGTTTCGTTAATTGGTTGATTGATTGATTGATTGATTGATTGATTCATTGATTCATTGATTCATTGATTCATTGATTCATTCATTGATTTATTCACTCATTCATTTCAACATTTATGCTATGTTAGTTGTTGTCCTGAACTTGGCGACAATGACCTCGAGGTAACTGTGGTTCGAGGGCTTAACTTCAATCCACCGTCTGGTTGTTATTGTTGTTGTTATTGTTGTTGATGTTATTGTTGATGTTATTGTTGATGTTGTTGTTGATGTCATTGTTGATGTAGTTGCTGTTTTTTATTATTGATGCGTTGTTGTTGTGCGTGTGTTGTTGTGTGCTGTTATTGAATGGTTTTGCTTTTGTCACGTGTTCCGTGTTGTTTTCTATTGATGATATTGTCCCCGAGCACTTACATTCGATGGCATCGTTCACCACACACAAACACACGCACACAAGCACACGCACACAAGCATACAACTACCTAGACCTACAGAAACACCTAGCACACAACAACACTCAACATAACAAAAAACAACAACAACGTACCAGGTTACAGTGCCGCAGATTTGCACACATACGTCAGATACGAATTTCCATTCCCTGCTAGTTTCACTTTCATTTTCAATCACTATTTTGTCTTTTTTTTTGTTGCTTTTTTTTTAATAAACCATCCAATAAACTTGTGGTTTATTGGATGGTTGACCAATTAATGGATTGGTTTATTAACTTATTGGTTAGTTGATTGATTGGTTAATTGATTGATCGATAAGTTGTTTGATTGGTTGTTCGGTTTGTTTGTCGGTCAGTTGAACATAATATTGAATGATTCACTTTTTTAATTTTTTTTGTTCTGGTCAAATCTTCTTTTGGCTTTCATAATTATTATGATGGATTAACTTACATGTTTTTAATTAAGTGTTGATGTTCTTTGAATGCAATGCAGGACACACCTCAAACAGGTGACACCCCTGCAATTAAAGGTACCAACTCACCTGGTCAGTAGTGTAGTGATTGGCTGGTTGGCTAGTTGGTTGGTTGGTTGGTTGACTGGTTGGTTGGTCGGTTGGTTAGTTGATTGGTTTTTTTGGTTTGTTGGTTGGTTGGTTGGCTGGTTAGTTGGTTGGTAGGTTGGCTGGTTGGGTGGCTGGCTGGTTGGTTGATTGGTTTGTTTGTTGGTTGGGTAGCTGGCTGGTTGTTTGGTTTGATTGAATAAATAAAATAATTAGTTAAATGTACTGTTTGGTTGTTGATTATTTGGTTGATTCATTGATTTTATTTAACTGATTGATCTTTTTAGTGATTGATTGGTTGATTGATTAATTGATAGATTAATTAATTGGTTTGGTTGATTACTTGCCACACGATTTCAAACATTTACATACATTCACATACTTGACCTACCTGATTCAACATGTTTAAATGATGTTTGAAACAACATTAAAAAATAATAACCGACCCTGACCTTCAACCAGAGTTTAACCACGTGACCAAATTAGAAGTCAATCGTAAGTCCAGATCATTTCTGAGGCTGCTGAAGAGTAGCAAGACGTTCAAGATGGATGTCTATTACAAGAGGTTATTTATTAGCTGGCTGGTTGGTTGGTTGGCTGATTGGTTGGCTTGTTAACTGGTTGTTTGGCTGGTCAGTTTGTTTGCCAAATGATTCTTTCAATTGATTGATTGATTGATTGATTGATTGATTGATTGATTGATTGATTGATTGATTGATTGATTGATTGATTGATTGATTGATTGATTGATTGATTGATTGATTGATTGATTGATTGATTGATTGATCACTAACCACACCAGGGGCTTCTTGAAAGCTGACAAAATCCTGGGCAGCGTTCAAATCAAACTTCAACCTCTTGAAGACAAATGCATTTATCATGAAACTTACGATGTATGTTTTTATATTTTGATACTCTATAATACAACTATAACTAATGATAATAATTGTTAATAATAATGATAATTATTATTATTATTATTATTATATGAATGTGGAGTCGAGGATTTAAATGGGCTGGGCTATCCTGTCAAATTGGGTGATCTTTATTATTGATAGCGTAGCATATTTTTTAGTTTATCATCAGTAGTTCTGGCTTTTTTGTTGTTGCCTTCGGAATCGTAAATTTTTTCTTTGATGTTTTTTGTGTGTTGTTGAGCACGTAAGTTAAAGGCTGGATATTTTTCGTCTTGCCGTTAATTTTTGGGCAAAAATTCTTTTGAATATTTTCGTTTTTTAGGTTCTTACCATCCAGGTTGTTGTAAATTCTATTGTTTCGCTGATTTGTGAGAATAGTACGTAGTATTGAGCATCTTTTGAAGTAACTGCTAGAGAGTAGGGTAAAGATTTTGGTTTGCATTTGCGAATTATTGTTAAGATGATTTCTTGGCAGGAGGAAGGGTCGGCTTGACTGGCGTTTGAAATTTCTCTATCCAGTTCCAGAGTTGATATATTTTGTGGTTGGCGCTGCTGTTTAAAATGTTGTGGTAGCAATAAAAGTATAAACAATAACAGTAAATAAGAGTAATAAATATTAACGATTTATAATAATGTTTTCGCGTAATACATCCATCCATTCATTCATTCATTCATTTAGTTAATGGAAGGAAGAAAAGCAGTTGGTGGGAAACTTGAGGTTAGTTATACATTATATTATATATTTTTGTTTACTAGTGTATTATTAAAATTATTATTATTTGAGCGGCAAGATGGTGTAATGATTAGGGGGCCTGGTTCAGCTGCTGCACTGGCATGGCAGGGTTTTAATGTAAAGAGATCTGCGCCTATCATGGTTGCGATGCACGATTCACGCACGTGAACGTGGGCTGTGCGTGCAGTTGATACGTCTGGGAATTTGTTAGAAGAGATTTAATAAAAATTACGTAATCTCTTATCGTCAGTTTCTGGCTCTTAATTTTCTACTTTCTTGACAATTTTGAATCGGGAGAAATATTTATTTGTAATGTGCTATCTTTTTTTAAATTTGCTTTTTTGGGAAGTAAAAGGTAGAAATAAAATCTATTCAATGTTCTCTGGCATTCTAGTAAGTATAATAAAGATATAATATAAAAATGTGACGTTTTGTGACCGGAAGGTGAAACTTCGGGTGAGGGACCCGTTTGTGAACAAGCAGGTTGAGGAGGCCAGGGAGAAGTGGCTGGTCATCGACGAATTCGTTAGGAAGGTGGTGTCTCCTGCCGCTGCTGCTGCTGCTCAACAGGTGGGTTGGTGAGTTGTGTCGTTAGTGGTGTGTTGTAGCTTGAGTGTTTTTGTTGCTTCTAGTTTGTTGTTGCTGATGTCGTCATTTTTGCTGGTGTTGCTATTAGTGAGTTAATGTTGGATCGTGTCGTCGTTGTTGTTGTTGTTGTTGGGTGCAGGTGAAGTGTTGTTGCTGATATGTTCTTACGCCGAAGTTGTGCTGAGCTTCAATTTTTGTTATGTTGGAGTGTTGCTTGGTTGTGACGACGAGTTGAAATCCCTAGAGTTGTGACATTTTATTACTACTATATTTAATATTCTCCTGAATATCCAAATTAAATTTAATCTTACGCCAAAACATCCCAAATATTAAATAGCCAAAATACGGAAAATGATAAAAGTTGATGATAAATATTTAATAACTGGTTTATTGACGTCGCTTAATAACACTGACGTCGCTTAATTACTTTATGTTAATTTTCAGCACTTAATGGTATTAGCTGTTCAGTCATTAACTTGTTTTTTTTTTATTTTCAGGTGCCACAAGCTCCTCCGAAGTACGTATTAATTCAAGTCATCATTGTTTTTATATAATATGTTGTTAGTATTATATCACCAACTATTATCACCTGTTCATCTGGTTATTAACGATGTTCTACTATTGTTTGTATCGTTGAAATAAGAGTTATATCAGATACGACATTTCGGCACGCAAACACATTTGTGTGCGTGCATGCACAATACCACACAACACACGTGCGTGGTGTGGTACCACAATTTACTCATGTGCGAGTATGTCGTGCTGTCAGAAAATGCGACGATCTTTGTTTTAAATTAATCAAATAAGGACACAGCTACTTCCTAAGCCGTCACCATCTCAACAACAACGTGCATCACCCAACCACAACTACTGCATCTCTGTGCTGTTGTATGAACGAGATGCCCTTGAAGAGAAGCTGGCCAAGTACAGAAGCAGGATGAAACCTGCGGAGGTTGAATTGCTGAAGGAGAAAAGCAACATGATGCTGAAGAGAGCCAACGACCTGAAGAGGCAAGTGCATGAAGCCGGCGAGGCATTCATCAGATGTTAGTGTATATTCCACCTCATCATTGTCACTATCTCTTTCTTCTTTAACATATCTCATTGCTATTGGTTTAAATGTCTAATGGGTAAAAATTCCAAAATAAATAGATCTTGAGGCGTTAAAACACATCATAGTATTTTAAGTAAATAGCAGTTGAAATAACTGAATATATACTTTAACGTGACTTGCCAACAAAAATGCAGCCTACATAAGCTCGCTGAAGCAGATGAGCACAGCTTACTCAGCAGAGGCGAGATCGAAGGCCTCGCAACCAAACAACAACGACCAAGTTAAGGTAGTACTCGAGAAGAAGGCTCTCGTTGACAAGGAGGTCAGCTCAGCATATTTTATTCATTCGTCATACTCTTTTTAATAAGTTCATTTATGTTTTAATTAGTTTTTTTAATTTATTCCTAATTATTCAAATTATTGTTGAACGATTTATTCATTTTTGATAATTTTCATAAACAATTTACTTTCATAAATTTTGTGATTTCTAGATGGATGTTCTTCTCAAAAAGTTGCCTGCCAAAAAATAGCAGGGCACAGTTTGACCGATCAGCTTTTTGTTTTCACTTGACGTTAATTTTAGCGTACATCAAACATCATCGTCATCATTTAACTTGATTTTAAGACTTCATTCTTAAAGTTGTATCATCCAAAAACTGCAATCCCAGAAAAATTTGGTTCCATTTTTATCAACTTTTCAACTTACTCGCGATTGGTCAACGTTTTATTTGAGGTGTTTGTTGTATATGGACAGATGTGAATGGCGTCGAGGGGTATTTCGGTTTCATCATAGGTAGCCAAACGGCAACCCCCGATCTCGGGGAAAATGTCGTCTAAACGTGTGTTGTTGTTTGTTGTATATGGACTCTGTGCGTGTGCACGCTACAGTGCCATATGACCTTATCAAAATTAAACTAGATACCAATTTTATCTTGCTTACCATTTTTAATTTTATCACTTCTAACAACCATCCAGCTCAGAACATTCTCCATTCCTAAATCAAATGTTAATGGATTGCCCTTCACCTTAATAATTCATCTTCCATGCGATTATCTGAAATTTTCACAAACTGAAAGCTAAACTCGTGAATAATGTCCACTTCACTCAACTCCATCCGACCAACGATGGCCAACGTGCAAAATTCAAAGAATTATACTTCTTTCCTCTTACCATTTTATAAATTAAACAGAATTATGTCACCACTGAAATAACATATTGCGTTCTGTCTTGTAAATATGTAAAGATCGAAATTATTAAAATTATGTTTTAGATAAATAATACTTACATTACTTTGCTTTTTAATTTAAATATAATTTATATATTTTGTTTTCGAATGTCGATTGTGATGTTTTTAATTCAAATATTCGAAATATTTTATATATTTTTATTTCTAATAAAATCCCGAGATGACAAAATATTTGTTGGGCAATATTTCTGAGGTTAACAAAACTACTGCACCATTTCTAATGGCTACCAATTCAAAATTCCTTCAAGATATATAAACAATTGGAAATTATCTGATGAGGTCCCACAGAAGCAATAACTACAAATTCAGATTATAAACCTACCAGATTGTTTACTTTCTCCAACACCAACAGCACCGATTAACTATAAACAGCTGGCCATCATGAATAATGATCTAACTATTGACCAATCAATTACCAAACAATCAGCCAATAAATCAACCATCCAATCAATCAATCAACTATCCATCAAATCAATTAATATATCAATCAGCCAATAAATCAATCATTGTTGTTCTTCAGTCTTCATTCCACTGCCAACTGGTCCGTGCCTCCTCTCCCAGATCATGCGGTGCTTCTGTTTCATGTAGGCCTCTCTCACATCCATTCTGAATCCCAAGTCCCCATCTGTGCATAAAAAATTTATCAACGGTTTAAGGATCAAATTACATAATAATGGAATGAGATGGCTTGCAGAGACCCTGATTCAAATGCGTGGAGAATCCTGATCCATTGATTTTGCGGGTGTGTCAGATCATGAAAAACATTCACATGACAATAAAAAAAAATAAGTGTGAAAATAAAACAAAAAATTTTTAAATTTCTGAAAAATCTGACGTTGGTCAATAAAAAAGTGTGGCACAAGTTATAATGACTCGATGTTGAAATAAATTATTTGTTAGTAAAATGGTGAAACAAAATAGAAATAACAACACTGGATTTCTTAAATAAGCAAGATGTCTCAATCAACCAGAATGTAGCAGCTCCATCATTATTTACAATTTCCACATCCTAGCACAGCTATTGAAATGTTAATTTAAGATTCATAGTTTTATGACTATTTTGATCATGGGAGCCATGCCTCGAGAGCTCATATGATTTATGTATCTTAATTAATTTGTTTTACTTCAACAAAAAAATTAAGTTTTATTTTTCAATTTTATGTTTTGTATCATATATAATTTGTATACATAGTTCAGAGCAATGCATTTGCATTTAAGTCTTTTTTCCAGGCCAATAATTAACAATACAATGAGATCATGTAATGTAATTGCATAATAATAATATTGTATAGTTAATTAATAGCATATACTACGAATAATAAGAAGTGAATGAAAAAGGTCTCATACATTTAGTGAACCAGTTTGCTTCTGCTTCAAAGTAATCCTTCTTTAGTTGCTCACAGTGTTTGGGAGCCTGGTGCTCGTAGTAAATCTCACACTCGATTCTTCTTTGTCTTAAGATAGCCAAGATCTCATCATCAACATTCCTATTTTGAACATAAAAAGAATTTTAAAAGATTACAATACATAGATTAGGATGCATGCCTGATAGTAAAACATTCTGCAATCTTTATGGAATAGTGATTTATGTTCCCCGAGAATAATTGAAACAAGTACTTAAATTCGCTAACTAACTTGTCTCTTTTAAATTGCTCATTGGCTTCATAGTAGCAAATGCTGTCATTGATGTCACATTCATCAATTGTTGGGACTCTTCTGTAGCGACGATGGTAGTAATAATGCTTGTTCTTACTGCGGATGGGATCTAGAATGCTTTCTGAAACGAAATTATAAAATTAATAAACTTATATATATATATATTTTATAATAAGAGAGAAAGAAGTACAATATGAAAAAATTTTTTTCATTAAATTTTACAGGAAATGTTTATTACTATTTTAAACCAAGAAAGTACATTGTTGAACTTGCAACCTCTGAAGTAAGTAACCGGCACATCCACAATGCTTCCGATCGACCTTATAAATGTCCGAAATGGAGGTTCACTCGAGTCCTCGGGCATCTTGATATTTTTCTAGGCTCAAATTTAGCTTAACTTTTTACACGACCTTCCACAAAAACACAGACAACTTAATTTTATTCTTCTATATTCTTTATTATTTATTTAGGCTCAGATACATTTAAAACATATGTATTCATTAATGGGTGTGGGTAATAATTACTTGTATTCATTAATGGGTGTGGGTAATAATTACTAACAGGTAAGGTTCTGTTTGAGCCTAACCATGACGCTCCAGGTATTGAATTACTCACAGAACGGGAAATAAAGCTTTTGATTTGAACGTTGACCTGGAACCAATTATGTTATTACTACGGATATATATATACTATACAATCAATCAATCAATCAATCAATCAATCAATCAATCAATCAATCAATCAATTAGCTCATAAAGCGCTATTTCCGCGATGTTCAACAGCGCTCCTCAATGAATTTTGAAAACAGATGGGTCTTGAGATCCGCTCTGAACTTCGCAAGTGATGGAGAAGTAGTCAGTGAAGTAGGTAGAGAGTTCCAGAGAAAAGGACCAGAAAAAGCAAAAGCAGATTTGGCAAAAGAGTGTTTAACACGAGTTAAGAAAATGCGAGAAGAAGAAGACGAAGGTTCAATTAATATATCTGATAAATACTTAGGAAATAATTTAGATTGAGACTTGCATATATATACATATATATATTATAATGTATTTTTATTTTTACGTGTAAACGATTATCCGCTGCAGTCCCAATTATTTTGATGATTCCTGCACTTATTGTAACGGGTGGGTGATGTCAATGCTGCTATATTTTCTACTTCTGATAACGTTAACAACTGGGTAAAATACGATACGGTAATGTCAGTATAAAGTTTCACCACACCATTTTCACACGTTTAAATAGATTTAATTCAACCTCATCTAAAACTGCAATGCGATTATTTCAATCTCATGTCTATGGATGAGATGGGTGTTTCTCTTTCGATTTGTTTGCGGGGTTTTTTATCGTTCGTTCGCGTGCGTGAAATTGAATCTGTTGGAGGGCGTTCGAAAATTTCCTAACTCGTTTGTTCCTAAATATAATCTGTCTTAATTTTAACTTTTTTACTTTCATTCAGATGCCAGCAAGTGCGGATTGTTTTTTTTTTTTTAAGAATTTCTAAATAGCACCAAACACACCAAATAATCACTGAACTGAACTGATCATCATCAAATAAAACAACAAATTACCACAAATCACGAACCCGCACAAAAGAAGTTGAACACGTGAGAACAAGATGACTTTGCCGCTGAACACTGATGTTATTGTAAGAGTTTGTAATTTAGTGTCGATTTTATTTTGTTTAATTTAATTAGTTTTTCAGTGTTATGTAGGTTTATTGCTGTTATATTGTTTGTAGTGTTAATACTTAGTTAATATCTTAAATTAATAACTTATTTATGTTATGCTCTCCTTTTTGTTATTTCAACCTTTTTATTTTCAATTTGAAATTTAAATAAATAGAATCTTTTTGCCAACATTTGAGAAATCAAGCATTATTTAATTTTATTTCATACCATTTTAAAAATTGATATGTTTTATGGCCAAACTTCTTTTTTATAAACTTGAATACAGGTTACTTTGTCAAACGCCTTTTCATCTCCAAGCCAGTTTTGGGTTGTGACTGTGGACAATCTTCAAAAGTGTGAAAGTTTAAAGCTTAAGTTAAACAAGGTTAGATTTACTAATGGTGATAAAATGAAAATCTTGGTATACATTACTTATTCATTATAATTTTTTTGCAATTAACTTTAAATTGTCTTTCGATGACAGCATTACAACAATCCAGCAAATTTAAAACAATGGGCAGAAAAAATATCTCTTGGTGATGTTTGTGCTCTGAAGTCTCCACTGAACTTGTGGTGCAGAGGACAGGTGGAGGATGTTTATTGTCTTCCTGAAGATGGTGGTGATCAATTGGTGGACATAAGAGATGTCGATGATGGAGAACTTTTCCAGGGGTTATCTCCCAACAAATCTTGCTTTGTGCTCGAATCTTCATTTGCAAAACTTGAATTTCTGGTAAGTTAACAGTTCTTGACAACTTCTTCTTTTGTTCTATTTTTGTTTCTAACAGCAGTTTTTGTTTTGTATTGTTTTTTGATGTGACAAAATCGACATTGATGTTGTGAGTTATAACATGACATAAACTATTTTTGCATTCCTACCAGGCAGTTCGATGTAGATTGAACAGAGTGATGTGCAAGACTGACGACTTGGTGTGGTCTCAGCGTGCAATTGATATTTTCAAATCATTGGTATCCCCACCAAAACAACTCCATCTTCGAGTTGTCGGGTTCCTTTCAGATGTTCACATTGTTCATCTTTCCACTGAAGGTCTTATATTTTAAATATCATATTTTCACTCAAATTTATTAATTTTTGTTTATTGTTATAAAGATTTGACACTTTTAATGTAAATGTTTTTTCAATATTTTATTTTATTTTTTTTCAAAAATAAAAATCTGTTATATTAACTAGCCTTTGATTATTTATCTGCTTTAATAAAACATTCATTTTAAAAATTTATTTTATTTCTATTTTCAAAACATTTCTTTCTCAATGACATTCATCCATTGAGATTATGAGTATTTGAGTATATGTGCGCATTGGTTAATAAGTAATTTACTTGAAATTCACGTTATAAAGTTGCATTCATTGGGGATGTTGGCATGCTATTCTATACTTGTACATATTTTATTCATTATTATTGTATTGTAGGTTAATTGTATTTTGTTTTTTCTTGTGGGGCATAGTAACGTTCAGTTCGTTCATGTCTTTATTAAACTACTATGTTATGTTATTTTATTGAAAATGATGCTATAATATTGAAGGCAAGTTTGTGTATTTATGTATTAATTTTTTGGGGAAAGGCATACCACAAGAAGAGACACTGATTACTTACTGACTGACTTAATGTAAGGTGACCATCGAAGTGTCGATGCTGGAATATTGAACCACGTGTGAGGAGTTTGAGAGAAAATCTAGAATGTTTTTGATTTTGTTTTAATTTTGGAAGCACTCAACTTGAATTTTTTTAATTCACTGTGGTTTTCTAGACTTTAACATTGATAATGTGTATGATGATACTGACGATAGTAATGTTCTTGCTTTGCAGTTGTTACTGTTCATGAGTTTCTTTTTTTTGCAAGATAATTTTTAGTCTTTATTATTGCAGCTCTGACATTTGCAGAACCACTTACATTGTTACACATATATTATCTATATATCTTTTATTATGTTCTTCAAATTTTCATCCATTGATTTGAAGCAGCCATCTTCACCACAAAGGCTGTTTATCCTTTTCACACGATGTTTACACATGTATTTATGTGCACGCGCATGCACCGCATCATATACGCTGAATATATGATAGCCATTGAGAGGTTTGACTCAGCGCGCATTTGAACCACTTAGCCATATCGCCGGTCAAACATGCGGCAACTTACGTCGTCTTACGTTTAATTTTAACAGATAACATCGATGTTGCTAATGCGTTGATAAAATCAAATGTTGTCTTGGACATGCAGAGGAGTCAGAAGAATTTTCCGGAAGATCTGTTACAGATTATTATGAAGTTTGCTTACTTTGGAATTTTTAATAAATAATTTCTACTCATGTTATAATAATATGTGTATTGCTTTTGAATAATTACTATTTAAATACGTTTGAAAATATTCTAAATAATTTATAGATGATATTTATTATAATTAAAACAAGCAAATATAACCCAAACAGAGTGGATGCATTAAGATTTGAAGTTGCAAAAGAGTTGTGCATTCCTCATGCATACCACTCCTACCCCAACAAACTCAGCAGCATGTCAGAAGGTAGTTTGGTGGTGCTCAACATCAAACAGATCCTCACCCCCAACCAAATGTTGGCCAGCGTGCTCTCCAATGATTCTGCCAGGCTTGAAAAACTTGAGATGGAGATGGAGGAACATTACAAGAAGTATCCATCTGAAGAATTGCAGTATGTACTTTGATCATCATATGATTCAAATGTCTCAATTCATATTGATATTTAATCAATGTGAATAAGATAATCAAAAAATGAACTTTTCTAATGGAAATAAATTTCCACTGCAAAATAGTTAACACCATTTCAACTTCAACATTATTTGAATACGAACAGGTCTGATGGATGCCTTCTGTACGCCTTCAAATGTCCATCGCTTGGTACCTGGCAGAGAGTCATTCTGCTGGACGTGGATGGAGCTAATGGGACTATCATCTCAGTTGATCATGCTTACATGAGGTCGGTCGAGATCAATCAACTGAAGACGCTCAACAAAAAGTTCACAAAATTTCCGTTCCAGTCAGTTTGTTGCTCTCTTGATGTCGACGTGCAGCACTTCACGTTGCAGGACGTTCATTACCTCAGGTACGTAACAGCTAATTCAAACTGCAGGGCACAGGTTCTTGGTATTAAGGAGCACAAAATGATTATAGATTTTAGTTTGTCTTCTGGAGATAGTGCAAAAGCGACTATGTTGAATTTTATTAAGTCTTCAAGAAGTATTTTTGATTCAACAAAGCAGTCATCTGTTAATAAAGCTTCTGTTAAGAATGCACCAGCACTTGCAACTGATCATGACCATCCAGAGGACAGCAACGAACCAGCTCACACACTGACCTACAGAAAAAGTAACACATCAATTGAACCAGGCTGTCAACTCTATGTAACGCACATCAATTCCATCTCTGATTTCTATGCTGTTAATTTGCATGAGGATTATCAACAAACACTCATGCTTATGCTGAGAGAACTAAAAACTTCCTGCTCCAAACTTGGTAGGTCAGGGGTTGATGCAACCATGCTGTCGACTGGTAAGCCTGTAGCTGCTCTCTTTGACAGCATTTGGAACAGGGCCTCTGTGTTGGAGGGGCAGAGTGTAGCAGATGGGTTTGCCACGTTATTCTTTGTTGATTTGGGTAAAATTGAGAAGGTGAAACTGTCCCATGTACGGATTCTTCCAGAGTCATTCATCATTGACTACCCTGTACAATGCCTCAGGTGCTCATTGGCACTGTCCAAAAATTTAGAGAGGAATCCTTCTATGAAGCATGAATCACTGTTCAAAGAGTCATGTGAGGATGGCGTCTTCACTGTTAAATCTTCAAAACTTGTTGATGATGTTTGGTTTGTAGATCTATTGGATGAGGAGAATGAAAACAGATCTGTCGTGCAGTGGTTGACATCGGCGTCATCAACCATCTCACCATCTCAAACTGTTTGTATGGTAAATGGAACATCACCTGAAAAGACGAATTCAGATGATCAACTACCTCAAAATAATTGTAAAACTATCATAAACTCATTTCTTGAATTGAAACCACCAAGATCACCATCACCAAACAATTTAATTGATTCAAAATTATTTTCTCCACCATCAAATTCCTCAATCATTAAATCCTCACCGAATATTTCTTCCAAATCAAAGCAACCATCTCCCACTCCATCCAACTTTTCAAACGTTCCAATTGTCAACCAACCTCACCCATCTAATTCAGCTTCTGAGTCAAGTAAAATTGCATCAAAACTTCAAGAACCTCTCCATAAGAATGATTATGTTCAAGTGGTTCACACAAATGATATTTTCCAGTTTTTTGTTCAAAAGTGTGATGACGAGTCCATTAATATAATAAACCAAACAGTGGAATCATTGAATGGACAGGAGCTGAAAGCCGTTAGTAAGGTGAAGGTCGATGATCTTGTTGTGGCCCCATTCGATGGCATTCTATTCAGGGCGGTCGTAAAAAAAATTTTGCTCAAGGACGATGTCGAGTTGCATTTTGTAGATTATGGAAACGATTGCGTTGAGAGCTTGTCGTCATTACGTCAACTACCCGCTGACATGGATTCCCTGCCTCATCTTGCATACGAGTGTGCGCTGAAGTTGTCCAGTTGTTCTTCTGTAGACCCTGCATCCCACACTGCCTGGTTCGTTGAGTGCTGCGAAAATAAGTGCTTCAGAGTAGATGACTGCTCGTTTGATGATTCAAGAAACACATTTGTTGTTGACATTGTGGATGTTCAAACGGAGCAGAACATATCGTCACTGCTTGATGCTCGTCTCACCCATTTGAACAGTAAGAAGATTGATGCTGTCTGCAATACTGGCGAGGACATTCGTGTGGAGAAGGAAGAATCAAAGAAAGAATTGCTGGCAGATTCTTTCTCGCTTGAGGATTCTGAGGAAGTTATAACCACTGAATCAAATCCACTTGATGATCACGGTGACAAAACGTCTGTCGAAAACTTAAGCATGGAACTGCCGATAAAAATAAATGACAACGTCGCGATAACGCACATCAGCAGTCTCAACAAATTTTACATCAACCTCGTTGAATCAGTTCTCAACAAGTTAGTTGAATTGACGGATGAGTTATGCGATGAGTGCATGAAATCGCCGAAGAAGTACAAACCAAAAGTTAATGGTGAGATGGTTGCCGTCCGATTTGACAACCTGTGGAATCGAGCGAGGGTTGTTGAAATATTGCCAGATGATCAGTTCAGGTTTGTTCGTTTCATTTGTCTCACGTATGTTGTTTAATAATTATATTACTTTCATTCTTTACCCATCTCACATCCGCTTAATTTGGTCATGAAAATATAAATTAACAATGTCTAATTATAAAATAGAATGTTTTCATCATTTGTTTAATGTGACGATTGACGATATTTACAATATTCCGTTGCGTTAACTTGCTACGTTTTTCATATTAACATTTTCAAATCAGTATGTCAATCAATGTCGAAACTGAAACTGAAAAATTTAATTATATTTAATGAGTTTTTCAAAACAATTAATTCTGACGATAAAGTTTGTTTGGTGGCAACATACTTCAGTGGTCATTTTATTTTGATTTCGATGTTGAAATTTCAGAGTGAAGCTGATCGACAATGGCAACCAGGAGTTGGTCACACCAAAACACATCAGATGCATATCCGAGCAGATGAAGACCTATCCACTTAATCCAGTCATAAGGTGTTCGTTGATGGCAAGCAAGCAGTTGGTAGGAGATGGTGGTGTTGGTTCTATCTGGACTGATGAAGGTAGCAAGTGGTTCAAGGAAAATTGTGAATGGAAGTCCTACAGCGTTGCAGATATTTGCATGAGGCCGAGCTATTCCATCGAAGATAGTTGTGTGTGTGAGATCAGTTTGAAGATGGATGACCACCAACTGCTGGCAGACTTCCTGGCTACTAGCGGCTACTCAAAGGTCAAAATAGATGCTAACAACGACAAAAATTCAAAGGTAGAAGAAAATGTTAATGTTAAAAAAGTTACAAAGACGGTTGAAACGTCACCTGACAGCATTCAGACTGACAATGAAACACCAACAAAAACATATAACGGGAATGATGAGCAAATTAATGATGTTGATGATGAAGAAGTTGACGAATCCAATGATAACGAACATATATGTGACACAACTAATGATAGAGTGTACTTCAAAGATCTCGGTGTATTGCATATTGTACTGAATGAGGACCTGGATTGTGAGACAACCATACCTACTGATCCTGGTGCTTTCTGGTGTCAGCATCTTGACGCATGTTAGTTATCTGCTGTTTGCTGTCTCAGTGCTGCTATCATTAAACTGTCATCCACACAGATCATTTCATAGTTAATGATTTTGTTGAATTTATGCGAAATGTGGTTTGTTATCTAAGTATCTAATAAACAGCATTGCCAAATATTCTGTGAAGTTTATTTTACAAATTTTACATCGATCCTTCAGTTATGCAGATGCAGGAGATTCTCGACCCGCCACAGACACAACTTCCGTTTCCTGCTTATGTTCCACGAGAGGATGAGATTTGTTATGGATACTATGAAAGTTGGTCGTCTGCAGCTGCTCATTTACTGCCGTCACTCACTCATTGTTCTATCGTTTTTTTTTGTTCACCCATTGTCCATTTTTACTCACTGTTCATTCACATCCCTTAAAATTGTTACTTATATGCAGATGGTGTTGCATGTTATTTAGAGTGAATGAATTGGAATGTTTCAAACAACAACAGATAATGAATGAATGAATTGGAATGTTTCAAACAACAGGTTATGGGGACTGGTACAGGGTGAGGGCGGTGCGCAGCAATGAAGCAACAGCAGACGTCCTCCTCATTGATTACGGAGATTATGCCAGCATCCTATTCACCCACCTTATGCCGCTGCCTCTCAGTTTGAAAGCATTCCCTCCTCTGGCTTTTCTATGCACGCTCCATGGTCGTAATTTTGTTCCTCGTGAATTGGTTGTGTATGAGAAAATTAATATTTGTTTATACGTGTGTGTTTAGCAGTTACTCTATTCACAATATTTAATTCCGTGTTACTTGTATACACGCACGTCGCACATGTGCGTTTCATTTGTACGTGTTCGATCATGGATGTGACATTTTTAGAGCAATTGATCTTTTGTACAGTGATTGTCGAATGAAACTCAATAACAACAACACACGTTTAGACGACATTTTCCCCGAGATCGGGGTTTGCCGTTTGGCTGCAGAATGAAACTCAATAAGGAGATGCTCATTAAATAGTTGCGCGCTTGTTTGTATCTAATGTAATTCATTCATTCGTCCTTTCGTTCAGGAATCAAGCCAGCTGGAAAAAAAGTTGAGTGGCCCGTTGAAGCGGTGGAAACCTTCCAACGTCTTTCCGCAGGACAGCTGATGAAAGTGAAATGCGTTCAAGTTGAGGATGATGTGCATGAAGTTGTCCTGGTCAATGCAGACGACATCGATATTGGCGCACACCTCGTTTCTTTAGGCCTCGCAGCCGAGTTATAATTATAAATATCATCTGCATATTCTTTGTTCTTCAATCCTAATTTTTTACTTGACAATTTTGCATTGCTTTTAAACATCTAAATAGTCTTGAACTGGTTATCAAAATAATCTAATTTTGATCTTTTTCAGTTTATTAGAGAACAGTTTGTTATGAAATTTATTTTTCAAGAACTTTGAAAAGGATTCAACAAATCTGACGTGTTTAAAGTATTAAAGTACAGTTATATTTGTGCGCGTGAAGAGTTATGTAATGTAATATGCTATGTAATGTTACTTGGCATCAATGCCAATACTAACCATTTCTGTATCTACGATTCTAGTGTTGATTTTATCACTAATCATTTTTCTGTTGTTTCTACGTTTCACAATTTTTATGTTGTCCACTTGAAACGGAAGGAGGAGGCAAGCTCCAGTCCATCTAATCTGGACCGCGAGCACTGTACGAAGTACAGATTGATGGCGGGGCAGCTATATTGATGATGTTACACTATGCGGATAAGAGAACTAATTTTTTGTTCTGTTTTTATCTTTTAATTTCAAGCATTCAATTGGAAACCTTGATTTTAGGATACTTTGCACAGTGTGCTGTATTTTTTCCTTTTAGAAATTTTTTCTTGTCTGAAACTTTTCTGTCGAACATTTTTCAATATTTGTGACGCCAGTATTGTTGTTTATTATATAATAATATTATATATGTTTATATTATCATGTGTGTGATGCGTTATTTCACGTGTGTTTACTCACACTGTGTGTTTGTTGTTTGTTCTTCTGAACAAATTTAAAAAGAGGGGTAGTAAATGTACAATGTGTACGTGTATATGTTATTTATATTAGGTATATATATATATATATATGTGTGTGTGTGTGTGTGTGTGTTGGAAAGAGGCCATAATTTATGCAGTAGTGTATGTTTTCCAGAGAATGTTCAATTTATTAAAAATCGAATTTTTATCCAAATTCATCCAGCGGATGTATCTATCTCGATTTTTCACAAATCCTCTTCAGTGCAGCTTTGGTTTACATAGCTTAATGATGGTTCGATCGGATTGGCGTTGTGTGCAAAGTGGGGTGCCTCAAGGGAGCGTGTTGGGGCCAATTTTGTTTATCATTTACATTAATGATCTGTTTGATGTTTGTGCTGATAGTGAAGGTGTTCGATTGTTTTTGTTTGCAGATGACGCAAAATTGTTCAAACGAATCGAATCTCATGATGATGTTAGGATTACTCAGAATGTTTTGGATTTGATTGTCAAATGGTGTGAGAGGAATGATGTTTTGTTGAATGTGGAAAAATGTGTTAGCATGAGGTTTGGCAAGAATAATGATGAAAATTTGTATTGTATTAATCATTTAAATCTCGATTGTGTGAATAATTTCCGGGATCTGGGTGTTTCATTTAATAATAATTTAAAATTTGATGATCATATTTTTGCAGTTGTAAAGAAAGGTTATAATATGTTGGGCATGATTCACAGGCATTTTCAGTATCTCAATAAAAGTTCTTTCTTGATTTTATATAAAACAATGGTAAGGTCGGTTTTTGAATATGCGGTTCCAGTGTGGTCGCCGTGGAAGGTAGAGATGTAGAGCATATTGAAAGGGTTCAAAAGAGCAACAAAAATGATAAAAGAATGCAGGGGACTAAACTATGAGGATAGGCTTAGATATTTGGGGTTGCCAACGTTGAAGTACCGAAGAGTTTGAGGAGATCTGATTTTGTTGTTTAAAAAATTTTTGACCTAAATGATCAAGATTGTTATCCTGAAATGTGTTTGTACTTAAATGAAAGAACAAGAGGACATGAAAAAAAAAATTTAGGAATATCGGGTTCAAAGGTAACTTGCGAAAGCATTTTTTTACTTGTCGAACCATTCCTGTGTGGAATAAATTACCTGCCGATATAGTGAACTGTGCCACTGTTGACAGATTTAAAAATTCCTTGGATGATTATTGGAAGAATGAAAGTTTTAAATACAGCTGGAGAGCGGAAGCGCCTAGATAAACTCGCAATCCTCTGGAATGTATTTGTTGGTGATGTGCGGACGTGTGTGTAGCGATGTGTGTGTGCTTGTGCGCTTTGTGTTGATGTATTCATTGGTTTACTTATAAGTGTAAGGATAACGATATATATGATATACATTCTATGTTATGTGCACTTGTGTGGCTAGAGGTGCTGAGAATTGGTAGTGTCGCTTCTGACATGATACGTACCGGTCAATTGTGAAGTTGTTGTTAATTGGGCGGGTGTGTTTGTTCTGTTTTATTTGTTTGTTTTCTGCACTTGAGACTTCATTATGTATGAGAATGACCGTCTATAATTCTAAGATTTTGGCATAGATTCTCAACACCGTTAAGTGTTAAATTAATTAATTTGGAACTAACTACATTTATTTCTAATAGTTTTCAGGGTCGACAAGGATGGTGTGGCTACGAGGCTTGTCTTCTGCAGTGGACGATGTCGTGAAGTTGGATTGGTGATGGCCGGGATGAAGTGACGGATGGCGTGGCACCGGCTATGAGGACTATGCGTTGGACTGACTGAAAGATACATATTGCATTTATATATACTCAATTATTTTGTTATGGATATGGTACTGTAGTTTATTTTTATTGTTGATGTTATTATTATTGTATTTATTTATTTTTTTTTTGTCATTACTATTTCATATTATTATTGTTTTTTGGATATTTAAATTATTATCACATAGTAGATATGAGCATATGGAGTTTAATCTACGCTCATTAATTAAATGTTATGTTATGTTATAGCTTCTTAGAAAAAATTGCATTGGGGTGGAGGTGTAAAATCCACTGAGGGTGAAACATTTCTGAATTATCAATTTATAAAGCAAAAATTTTTCATCTATAGATTTGTCAATGAATGGAACCTTTTCTTGACGATCCTACTCTTCTCCTTCTTCTTACTTCGTTAGTCTTATGTAGGATTGTTTATTTTAACTCGCTCTATTATGGTCTTCCTTATTTTACACTCTATCCTTTAAAACTTTTAACTCTGCTGGTCGTCTAGTTGCTCGTGCCCCTTTCTTTTCTCATATATCTCTATATCTTGTTCTCTTGCACTGGCTACTTATAAAATATATAATAATTTTTTAAAATTTGTACTTTATGTATAAGTCTCAATCTAAATTATTTTTTAAGTACTTATCAGATAAATTAATTGAACCTAAACGCCCCGGTTTACGATCCTTCTTGTTCTCACTACTTCCTAACTCGTCTTAAACACTCTTTTGCTAAATCTGCATTTGCTTTCACTAGCCCTTTCCTCTGGAACTCTCTACCTACTTCTCTGACTAATTCTCCATCGCTTACAAAATTCAGAGCGGATCTTGAGATCCATCTGTCTGCAAAATTCATTGAGGAGCGCTGTTGAACATCGCGGAAATAGCGCTATATAAGCTAATTAATTGATTGATTGATGGATGGGTGGATGGATGAGTGGGTGGATGGATTGATTGATTGAAATTAAAATCGAACTTCTTTTTTTTAAATTTTCTCTTTTCAACCACTTTTCATACGAACTGTTTTTGACAAATAGATATTTATTTATTTATGTGGGATTGTGTGTTTCGTTAACCAAGACATTCATCAAGGTATTCTAAGTATATGATTTTCAACATCCAATGACAAACTTTTAGCTGCTGTAGTTGGTCTATGGCTTTCTAGAACTATCTAATTCTGTCTATTATCGCTCGCTTTTTGACGGTTATAGCCTACGTCAGGTAAGTTCTAATTATCTATCAAATTTTAATTTGCGAATTCAAAATTTTTATGTTTGATATTTAGTTTAAAAGTTTTAATGAAATTTTTTTTCATTTGTCAACTTTTTAAAAGTTTTGCCATTTTATCGCTATCATTCTGATTTCTTTCTGGAATGTAGGTGCGGTGTCTGGTATCTTTTTTGAGTTTTGATTGTGATTGATTTGCGTCTTTTCGGCCCCAGTGGACTGCAGTTGAAAAAGTAAATCGTATAATATATTGCAACTTTTAATTAATAAGTTAATAATGTGTCATGCCATTCTCTCTGTTTGGTGATTGTCATTGTTGACATTGTGTTCTTTGTTTGCTAAAAAAAACAAAAGAAGAAAGAATAATAAATAAATATAAAAAACAATCAGTGTGTAAAAAGTAAAATCAATGTAATCATAATGAATCTTGTAAAATTAGCATTACTAATAGTATTAAAAATTAAATATTTGTAATCTAAAAGAATAATTAACTTATTTTTAATACAAAAAAACTGATACTTCTTTCTTTATTATTGACTTCTGTTTGTTATTAAATTAAATTATTAAGGTTACTTAATATTACTTATTCACATTCCAGTCATCATGAATTCAGAAGATATAAAATTGTTGCGAGAGTTTGTGAAGGTCTGTGAAGCCAAGCCTGAAATCTTGCATCTCCCTGAATTAAGTTTTTACAAAACGTGGCTTGAAAGGTGGGATTACCAATTTATTTATGTTTCTTTTTGTTGAATTGTTGTTTTGTCTAAGTTCAAATTTTATTTTATCCTGTTCTGCCAAGCTTCAATGGACTTTTCTATGGTTTTACCAAATTTTCAATTTTTTTAGTTAGTTTTCTAAAATAATGTTACAAGTTGTTAATGGCAAATTTATGTTTTGTATTCTAATTTCAATTAATATTCAGTTGCAATTGGCAATAATGTTTGTGATAAATGTATTTAGTGTTTTTTTGTTTTTGATCTTGACCTGATTGTTGTGGTGATTTTGTTTTTCTTGAAAATTTGTTTCACATTTGAACAAGCAGCTTAGGTGCAAAACTGCCAGCCAAAAGCGAATCACATGGCCACAGTCACGGTCATGGCTGCTGTGGACATGCACATGAACAGGAAAAAGAAACGGTTTGCAACACTTTCTTCATTCTGTTTTTTTTTCAATGATGAATATTCATGCTTGAAACCTAAATAATTTCACCTCACAGCATTTTGAGCCAGCAGAGCCTGTTGTTGAAGACAGTCCTGAAAGTGATTTAGGTGTGATTTTGTTTATTCTTATCAATTTGTGCTAAATACATAATCTTTTCACTATCTAGCTTGCTGCTCCACTAACTAACTAAACAACATTTAACAAGTGTAAAATGTTTTACACCTATGAACTTATCTGAATTAACTTTGGCATGTGACTGGCAGAGATCTCTTTGGACTCAAGTCAAATCACAGCAATGTGCTCACAACCTCATATTCTTAACCATTAGGTCACAATCACTCTCTTCATTAAGTTATTCGCCAATGTATTCTCACTTGGTGTACTGATTTTATGTATATTCAATTTAACTGTATTAGACATTGACAAGGATGGAGTCATCGATCCGGACGAGGATGTTCCTCACACCATGGGGGATGAGAGCATGGAGGTCTGTGGGTCTTTCTGTAACCATTATCATTCATATTTATGGTGTTCTGTATTGAAATGGTGGTGTTGGTAGCAGTGGAAATGGTAGCAGTGAAATATGTAAACTTTATTATGTGATTGTTGATGTTCGTTGAGTTTGTTAATTGTATGTGATTACTTCTGTGCTGACATCAAGGTGACTGACGAAATGCTGGAACAATCAAGCAGTAAACGAGACGAGGCCATGTCAGCCATTGCAGAAGGTTTTTTTTATCTTTTTATCACTTCTCCTTTTTAATTTTTTTCCTATTCTTCCATTCACTTTGTAGAATTTGTGCTAGCATGAGGATGCATTAACAGCTTAACTGTTGTTGGCTTTGTGTTTTATTTTTTAATTAATAAAGTATTAATAGGTGTGAAGAACAATCATAAGTTGGTAACTAAAATTAAGAGTTTATGATTAAAGAAAACCTTATGTTGGAATAATGTGACCTGCTTTTCCTTATTTTGTTTCTATTGTATTATGTTGTGTATCATTAGTGGATCCATTTTTTATAACTAATTATTTTCTCTAGTAACAGCTAAAATGAAATAAAGTTTTGGTAAATTTTTGCCAGGAAATCTTGACAAAGCTGTTGAGTTTTTTACGGAAGCCATCAAATTGAATCCTGTATCTGCCAATTTGTATGCTAAACGAGCCAGGTTTTGCTGTTTTTCAACAGAAGTTTTTTAAAATAATATTTAATAATACACGAACTTGTTGAAATTTATTATTGAAATAATTACACACAGCTTCCGCAATAGTTAATGTATAAATAATGATATGCAACATTAACAGCATCTACGTGAAGTTACTGAAGCCCAATGCAGCCATTCGTGACTGCAACAAGGCCCTGGAACTGAATCCTGATTCTGCTCAGCCATACAAGTGGAGAGGCAAGGCATACAGGTGTCTTCTTTCTCCATTCTATTTAATCTCTCCGTATACATTTAATTTGCCCATGTCCTTTCATTAAATTTTCAAATAAATCACTGAAGGTAGGATTAGCTGCACCGATTAAATATTAGTTGTGTTACTTGAAAAGTTTCATAATTTAATTAAATTTTTGACTAGGGATTTCGTTGAGCCTTGTTTTAATTAGGATCCATAAACATGTTCATCTTAAAAATTTTCACTCCTGAACTTTCATTGGGTTAAGTATCTTGTAAACATTCTAATGATTTTCGTTTTCATTCTTTTCTCTGCATTTCCAATTGCAACCTTTCTTAAATTTATTTTATCAACATTAATGCCAATGTGAAGTAATTCAAAGATTGCTTGTTGTTTATTAAAGACTTCTATATTTGACACCATTCCAATAAAGGTTGTTGGGTGAGTGGGAACATGCCTACCAAGATCTGAACAAATCATGCCAGCTTGATTACGACGATGATACCAACGAGGCTCGCCGAGAAGTTGAACCTAAGGTTATTGCATCACTTAGTGTTTGTTGCTATTCTTTTTTCTTTCATCATTACATATCATAGTTGCCCTGCTGTTACTCGAATGTTCACATCATTATTTTTGAATAATTTAAACCATAGTGAACTGAGTAACTCATCATATTGTGAAGAATATTTTCAGAAAGTTATGCCTCTGTTGCGTGTATATTTTATTCTAACTACTTTCATATTCAAACATGATTTTTCAGTGTTTAATGATTTATGTTCGGATGAATACGTTTTTAATTGAACTTCCATAAAATATTTCAAGTTCTTTAAAAAAAATCATCTCATAATAATTAATTACATTGAGAAATTAATATTGTTTCAGGCAAAAAGAGTGATGGAACACAAGAGGAAGCTGGAACGTAAGAAGGAAGAGAAGGAGTTGAGAGAGAGGAGAGAGAAAATCAGGAAGGCCAAAGAAGAAAATGAAAAAGCTAGGAAGGTGTGGCCTCTTTAATGGATCTACGTTTCAATTGGCATTGTTGATTTGTAAAGATGTGTTAGATATGCTTGTTTTGAGCTTGCTGTGAATATTGATACAAAAGTGTCTGTGTCCATTTTATTCTTATTTATTTTAAAACAGGACCAAGAGGCCAGAGGTCATGGGCCTGGATCGTTTTATGGTACGTTCGGATGATTCAATTTTCCATCATTTGTTCATAACATAACATCATTACATTGATGTGTTTATAATATATTCAAGATTTTGTTGATCGTAACTTTGCCATTCAGCTGGTTGATTTTCCAAAATTACTTTATGTTTAACTCATTGCTAAACAATGATGTCTGAGTTGATCTTACGTCTAATCTAATTCTTTTCTGAAATAGCTGTCCGACTACAACAATTTAACTTAGAACTGGCCCTCTATTCATATTATCATTATTTAACCTTTGATACTTTGCAGGTGGATTTCCTGGAGGAATGCCAGGAGGGATGCCAGGAGGAATGCCCGATATCTCAGGCTTGTTCAGTGATCCAGAACTTCTCCAGGCCTTCCAGGTACATTTACCTGATAAATTTATTTCATGTCATTTGTAAAATTTTTGTATTGCTTGGTGGTGAGGTTGTTAAAGTTTGATATCCTGGTCAAATGGAAATTTATTTGACAGATAGTTTATTAATTTCTGTTCATATTTCATGTTAGTTAAAATTTGTTAATTGATCGATGATGCTGTAGGACCCAGAAGTTGCTCAGGCAATGCAGGACATCAGTGCCAACCCTGCCAACATCATCAAATATCAGAATAATCCAAAGATCAAAAAGATTATTGAGAAAATGTCTAAAAAATTTCCTGGAGGACCAGATATTGGTAATGATGCAGATCAAGATGATGATAGATCCAGTGTTCCAGAGTCTGGGCATTCATCTGCTCACCACAATATTCCATCTCAGCCGGATATCGATTAAATTATCCTCTTCGTCCTTACAAGATGAATTGAAATAGTTTTATACCACTTCGTCCAGTGGCTTTTAACTGAATTTAAAAATTGGTTTACCGACTTAATATATTTAAGCTAGCTTTGACTTATTTTTAATTTTCTTACTCACTAATTTCTATGTTGGAGTTTTCCTAACGTTTGTTAAATGATTTTTGTTTTCAATGTTATTTAAGTGTCGTTACTTGTTGAAGTTTCTAACAAAAGATTGAATCACATCTGTTGAATGAACTCTAAGTTTAAATTTTGTATGTTTTTGTTGACGGTTGACGATCATATGATATTTAGCTGATTGCAATCTCTCTACTGCTATATTTTTATTATGCATAATGAAGCTCTTATTCATTTTTTATGTTTTATTTTAGTATCTTTTAAGTCCATTATGGCGTTCGTAACAAGATGGTTCGTAGAATATTGTGAATAACTAAAAATATGAACAGTGAAATATTTCATAATGCAAGCAGGAAACATGCGAGTGCTTGAAACATTGAGATTAGAGGAATGGAAGAGATAGTCGGTTAGGAATCAGAAAAAATAAGGTATTTTAAGTGAGAAAACTTTTTTGTGAGGAATCACAAAGTGGAGTGCTTCCCTTAGATATGCCTATATTGTCGACAAACGAGATGTTGGATTAAGATCTTAGTTTTGAGATGTACTACTTAGAATGTTGGCCGTCAAGCGTTGTCATAATCTATTTTTTATCTCGCCGGTTGCACGTGAAGATTATTCCTATGACATGGATTGGATGGCCGACAGACAAAAAGCCCCCAGCACAAATTATGATGTTTTTGGAGTTTTATTCTTGAGTTGCCTTGTAAAATTATTATCATTAAAAAAAGCTTTAGTAAAAGATTATAAGTATTGACTGCACTAGAGATTTTGGCATTTTATGCTATTCCTTAGTTCCATGGATACATACCTATATCCATGCTTAGTTCGATGTCTTATTTGAAGATTTGCTTTGTGATTTTTTTTATTTAAAAAACCAGAATCTGCCAAACGCAGAAACTGTTACAGCATGCAAGGCAATAGTATAAAATGAAAACGAAAAATAAATAATTGAGAAAAAATGTTTAAGCATGAAAAGTATGGAAAATAAAGCAATGGTTTAAGATGACATAAATAAAACAATTTATTAATTTAAATAGTTTTGTCCATTTCATTATCATTTTTAATATGCTCGTGACAAATTTTTCAAACAAGAATTTTTTGTTTTACAATTAGTAGATGGCTATTCCGTCTTGGTTCACGTTCATCATTTCATTGAGGTAAGAGGCGGGAGATGGAGGACGACCCCAATGACCCAGTCTATTTTTTATCTTCCGAAGCAAGACGCTTGTTCATTTCATATAATCGGCTGCGGCTAAGTCGCAAAAATAAAGAATAAGATAATAAAGTAATCAATATCGAGCTGCCATGTCTTGGTACTTGGTTTTAAGTATTCCAAGTACATGTTGTAGACCATCTCCTTCTACTTCATCATTTGTTTCTTTGGTAACTTTTTCCTAATTAGTGATTCATTTTTCGTTTTTAAATAAACATAAATATTAAAGCACCGTTAAAAGTCTGAACAAATTAAATAAAAATAAAGGAAATCTCGGAGATATTGTGAATATATTAAAATATGACATAAAGCGAAAAATTTACACTGATTTAAATAAAAACAATATTCTGCATTATTGCAAATATACATTGATTGAATCAAGAATTTGATTTTGTGCCTATTTTGTGTTTTTAGTCATTAGAATTAGTTTAGTCATTTAGTGTTTTACAATAAAAATATATTTTTATTTTTGAAACCTGAACTGAAAAATAGCAGGTGGTGGATAGAGTAAAAGCAGCCAGACAGCAAAATTACTAAAATAGATAAGGGAATGACTGATGAATTGAATTTGCAAGTGTAACCAACAAAATAATCTTTTCTCATTCAAAAATCAATAAATTTAATTAAATTTTTAATTTAAGTTGTATTATAAAATAAAATAAGTAAAATTTTTGTTTTAAGAACAAGTTGAAGTATTTATTAGTTTTCTTAAGACCAGCCAAAATAAAATCAAAAACTATAAAAAATGTCTGAAGAAACAAGTCTGTAAAAACTTTTTCATTGTTTTTTAATAATAATTAATTTCATTATTACAAGTTTAACCAATGTTATTCTTTATTAATCAAATTATGTTGTTATTATTTATACAAATGTGTTCTACATTTTAACGTTTTGCACTAAATGCATTCAGCAACCTACAATTAATTTAATTTCTTAATTACAGATTCTGAATTGCTGACCAGTTTTTCAAACCCCAATTACTCCCATGTTTCTTCCATGATCACAGGATCCAACTCGCAATTTGATGACGATGATGAGGATAATTCTTTACTCTTGTTGAAAAGTGATGATGATCTGGATGATGAGGAGGATGATAATGACAACTGTCGGGGTAGCAATGCCTTAACAGCACTGGCAGACGCCATACACAGTTTGGAATTACTGACAAAAGATCAACAAGAAGAGCAAAACACTCAGCAGGATAAAAATCTTGAATTTTTGCCATTTTCAGATCGCATAGGGGACAAATCTTCTGGCTTCTCGAGTGATTCTGCATTCTCAAGCCCAACTAGTGACTGCTCTCCACTGATGCGAATTAGGAAGCATGCTAACGTTAATAACAATAGTACAGTCAAAGAAGATGAAAATAAAGATGAAGTAAATGTGAAAAGTGATGACTCGAGTATTGATACACTGATAGCCAAAAGTCTATCGACCGGTGAGACATCAAACTGCAGTGCAGCCACAACTAATTTTGAACAGAAGTTGGATAACCAAGAGTACAACAAAGACAACCAAAAATTGCCAGGAAAAAATTTAGAGGAAGAGGAAACCTACAAAGATGAGGATGACAGTTGTCCTAAAATTGACATGCCAACTTCTCCGAAGACTCCTGTTGGTGATGATGATGATCGCAAGAAAATCGTGGTGGATTTGTTGGACAATGATGATGACGAGGAGGAGAGTGTCAGCTTGCTAGCGTACGTTCCTCGTCCTTTCTTACTGATTTCTAATTGAATTTCACGACAATTTCAAAATGTTCAAAATTTTTGAATTTTATTTTCAACAGTAGGAGAAATGAAACATTAGCAGCAGCAACAACAGCAGAAACGTTGGAAACAAGACCAGTTGACAATTTGAATGTACTGTCACCAGGCTGGGAGAAGTGTGAAGGTTGTTCATTGTTCATCAAGCATTACATTCATTGTTCATCATTCATGATGATACTGATGTTGATGATAATGACAATGATGTTGATGACGATACTGATGTTGATAATGATATTGATGTTGATAATGATACTGTTGTTGGTAATGATGATTATTTACAATATAGATGCGAGTGGCCCATATTACTGGCACATAAAGACGGGGACCATACAGAGGAACCCACCCACACTCATGGATCTACAAACATCTTCATCCATGGTTCGTTTTGTTCATCCATTCATTTGTTCGTTCATCCATTTGTTTAATTGCTTGTTCGTTCATCCATTTGTTTAATTGCTTGTTCGTTCATCCATTTGTTTGTTTGTTCATTCATTTGATTGCATAGTTTACATAGTGCGCTATTTTATTATTTTTCATGTGGCTACAATTTTTTGGTGTTAGTCTTATCATTATTTTGTTTATTGCTTATACTACAAAACACACACACTCACACACATAGACATATATATATATATATGTGTGTGTGTGTGTGTGTGTGCGTGTGTGCGTGCGTGTGTGTGTGTTAGTGTGAGTTAATGTGAGTTAATATTTTCCAAATGAAACACATAGGAGTTCAGGAGCAAGTTGTCAGAACCAGATGTCGTGGCAAACACGTGTGACAAGTCTGTCATCTAACTCTTTAACTTTTACATATTTACTTTTTTACGATTGCTTTTAATTTTGACCTGCTATGACTGCAGTAGCCACCACCGACGCCGCTGATCTTGGGTTTTTTAATGACCACTAAGTACAAACAGTTTTGATTAGTAATGACACCACAACGATTCCATGACTCACGTCACCGATGATTTAATCTGCTATGGTGACATATCATGACATGATTGATGATTTATTTGACATGTAACTGCATAATCCTTCCCTATTCATCACTGACAGCCGTAAAGGGCCCTAGCATTAATAATATACAACAATGGTACTAACAGATCATCGACAACACACTCTTCTTCCATTCCCGCCAAGTCATGTTCCTCCAAGATGGAAACGAACACGACGTCAACCACTCTGCCCATTCCTGTGGTCAGCGAGACGAGCGGCCAGCAGCATGATGGCAGCAACGGCATGGATCTGGAGCTGCCCGTGAGGTTTGCTGTGAGGTCGCTCGGGTGGGTGGTCGTCAACGAGGAGGATCTGACCAGGGAGAGGAGTAGTCACACTGTCAGTTCATTTTTCGATGGATGGATGATTGGATGGATGTATGGTTGGTTGGATGGATGGGTGGATGGATGGATGGATGGATGGATGGATGGATGGATCAATGAAGAAGTGGACGAGTGAATAGATGGAAGAATGGATTGCCTGTAACTGCTAAACAAAACCACTAACAGCAGACAGTTTTATTTCAACCTGAATATAGTTCTCCAACGTGAACAAACGCGTAGATAGCATAGCATGGATGCATAAATGCATCAGTTGATTTCATACAAACAACAACAACAACAACACACGTTTAGACGGCATTTTCCCCGAGATCGGGGGTTGCCGTTTGGCTACCTATGATGAAACTGAAATACCCCTCGACTCCATCCACATCTGTCACTCGCCTCAGTATCACGCAACCCCGCTTTCACCCTGTCCTTCTCCACCTGCTCTCTCCATCCCAATCGCGGACGACCCCTTCCTACCACTCCTTCAACCTCGAACTCCAACGCTCGCCTAATCCCGACCCTTTCATCCCTTCTCAACACATGTCCATACCAACGCAATCTCGATCTCCTTATCAATGTCACAATGTCCTCATTCAGTCCCATCATTGACATCAGCTCTGTACTACTCCTCCTATCCTTCACTTTAACCCCACACATCATCCTCACCATAGCTCTTTCAGCCCTCTGCAGTACACTTTCCTCCTCTCTCCTCAACACCCAAGTTTCACCACCATATATCATCGCTGCTCTCACACATGCTTTATATACCCTCCCTTTCATCTTCACTGACCATTTCTTTCCACACAATACCCCACCCAGTTCCCTAAATTTCATCCATCCCACACGAACTCTAGCCGTAACTGCGCTCAAACATCCTCCATCCGCA